GGACAAGCAGTATTTTCTTTAAGTTTCTGTGATTTAATACCAAGAAAGAAAAAAATCCCGAAATTAATTTGATACTTTGATACTCAATATTTTTCCTGGAAAATATTCATATCCTCGTTTGGTCTGAAAATAAGATAAGAATTTGGTATACAGAACATGCAGAAGTGTGAATGTCATAAAACCTTGTTATATCAGAAACCATTATAAATGTGAACCTGTATACGTAAGACCTCATGGGACGTCACCTAACCACATACAGGTAATATACAAGTAGCTCTGTTATACCCGGAAATGTCAAGGTAAATCACTACCGATACAGAATGTACCAATGCAAAGAAAATTCTGATGATTGTGAAGCATGACCATTCATGATTTTAGAGGAGTCTTAGGTGGAAATTGCCGGTACGATTTAAATTCTGACTATATTTTTTTCTCTCAATTTAAATCACTGAACTTAAAAAAAAAAGAAACATACGCCCAAGATCAGAATTCTTCATGTAAATTCATAAATACAATGTTCTTATTTTGTAACTTTCGATATACTTCACCCCCAACCACCGCCCCCTCCCAACCTGGGAACAGTATATCTAATATAACAATGTTTGTGTACCTGCCCAAATAAAAAAAAAAAAGATGAAAAAAGAAAGAGATGAACGGTAAGTCACATCAGATTCAAATATTTATATGGTTGATTGTCGTCAACTAGAGATGTAAAGTTACATGTCTCTGCGTTAACTTATAAGAATGACAGGAAAGTATATACTTGAAATAGATTTATGATGAATAATATGCAACTGCAGCACCCCTTTTTATCAAAGTGTACATGCATGTATTTTAATGACTGTCCGTTATTTCGATTAAGAATGACAAGTGTACGTGAAATTCTATAGTTGCCAGTGAGACTTTTTTTTTACCAGATATGCGACTTTTCGTATTTATATTTTCTCTTATATTACTCTCATTTAATATTTTATGCATAAGTGCAATATGAGGAATGGTTTATCCCCCATCCCTATTAAGCTAACTAAATAAATTAATCAACCTTCTAGCTGACCAGACGTTAACACATCTACTATCAGTCAATTCGGAGTGAAGTTTCTTTATTTCTTCAAATAAGCTTTTTGGGGATCATTAGTGTACGTCCAGTGGCATATATATTACATGCATGTCGGAACAGGAAAATTGACATGATGTATAATAGAACCATGTTCACATTATTACATTATTATATATAATACGCAACCATTGAGATGATGACGACTTTCTTAAACTGTTCAAAATAATCTTATGGAAATAAAAATCTGTGATTTTACTATGTGCATACCTTTGATGAACCAAAGCAAGTTAGATATACATAAATAAAATAAATAAAATAAATAAAATAAATTAAATGAATTAAATAAATTAAATAAAATAAATAAAATAAATATTTTATTATAGTGTCACATATTTGATCAAACAATATATATATACAACAATTCATAATAAAAACAGAGATCAAATATCCAGCCTTAGAATAGACTTATGAGACACTTAGATATCGACCTGTATTTAAATCAGATTGGTTTTGGATGTTTCTTTCGTATATTCAATATACATGTATATATTCTAAATTGCGACTATCTATAGTTCCGTAACCTTCTATCTAGGCGTATAATCCAATGATCGACAAGTGCGTACATTTTGTTAAATCAATATTTGTACGTTAGAAAATGTCCATAATTATTGACAACGAGTAATTACTTACATTTTCCCCAATTTACGTTTGGAAAATATGTAAATATATTTTTATTTTATCAAATCTTTTTTTGGAATTATTTAGATTTTCATAAATGTTCTTTACACCATAAATGTTATTTATAAACAAGCGTATGAGTTTAGTCATATATATAATGGCTATTATATCTATGGTTTAGTAAAGACTAGCATATCACTATCGGACACGCAAGACAAAGATGTATATTCACCTGATAGTTTCAAAATGGAAAGTTACAAGTTATCGGCCGTGTACACTTCTCAATACCCTCAGAGGTGAAGTGATGCACGAACTTGCTTTATGTAATTGTGTAATAAGAGTTTAAAAGACAGGAAATCGCTTGAATACCTGGACGTGTCAACTCACAATACCTCTGGGAACAATTCCTTTAGCAATGCTGGTGATCAGATAAGGGAAGGTCCGAATTTTTTTAAATAAGATTATTACATAAATGAATTATGAACACACTAGATTTTCGAAAACATTTTTACACGGAACACTTAATTTATCACTTTGAACTTTTTAACTAATTTCCATTAACATTTCTTGTTTCAAAAACTTAGTAAAAAAAACCAGTTTCAAAACGACAGACCATAGTAATAGCTATTCAAAAAAAATTATATATAATTATATTTTCCGTATCAAGTTAGTTAGGAAAGGTTGCATGCACAACCATGTCTATTATAATCTTTTTTTGTGACCCGGGAAACTGTTTAGGCTTTCCTTGTCGGGTAAAACAACCGTACGCTTGACAAGATATCGACACTCGATTACGGCTACGTTAGGTTACTGCTTGTTTTGGTCCTTTGTGGTTTATAGATATATCGTGGTTTCTATTCAGGGATGATGTCAAAATGGCCGCACGCGGAGAAGTGATACTCTAAATTTAAAATCGATGGTGATCTCTTATCTAGCAGAATTAAACTTTAATATTTATGAATTTGTGGTTTTTTATACATAATCACATTAATATCAATTTTTCATTTTTTTGCGAAGTTTCCCTTTAAGATAATTTAAAACAGTGTAAGGGAGGTAATCCAAATACAACATTTTGGTTACTTCCCTTACACTGCTTTTAAATTATGTTTAAAGAAATGCATATTTATAAAGGAAGACCAGTAAAAATATCTGCAAATGTTCCATCTTTTTTTTTACAAAAATATCCATATGAAAGATTTGACACTATATTTTAAATTCTATTATAAAATAGATTAAGTTAGCACTATGGTAAATTTAAATGGGTAATTATGGTTGCAAACTCCATTGGAAATTTGAATTGAGATTATGACCATATCTTGAGGGAAAAAAAAGGGGGGGGGGGGGGGGTAAAAAGAAATTGTGGGGGGTCAATTTTTTCTCATTTCAGATTTCAGAAATTAAAAAGAATTATTCTTCAAATATTATTTTTTTTTCAAATTTCAAATATTGAAAAATTTAAAGAAGTAATCTTTAATTGCACAGTATGGCACATTAGATTTGTAAAATCTTTGACCACATTTATTTATTTGTGTGTGTATGCCGAATCTAACTGTGTATTTAGATTTTTTAATTTGGGGTCCAGTTTTCAAATTGGTCTACATTAAGGTCCAAAGGGTCCAAAATTAAACTTTGTTTGATTTTAACAAAAATTGAATATATGGGGTTCTTTGATATGCTGAATCTAAACATGTGTTTAGATTTTTGATTTTTGGCCCAGTTTTCAAGGTGGTCCAAATTGGGGTCCAAAATTAAACTTTGTTTGATTTCAACAAAAATTGAATATATGGGGTTCTTTGTTATGCTGAATATAACCATGTATTTAGATTTTTTATTTGTGGACCCTGCTATCAAATTGGTTCATATTGAGGTCAAAAGGGTCCAAAATTAAACTTCGTTTGATTTCATCAAAAATTGAATTATTGGGGTTCTTTGATATGCCAAATCTAACCGTGTATTTATATTTTTAATTTTGGGTCCTGTTTTTTAAATTGGTCTACATTAAGGTCCAAAGGGTCCAAAATTAAACTTAGTTTGATTTTAACAAAAATTGAATTCTTGGGGTACTTTGGTATGCTGAATCTAAACATGTGTTTAGATTTTTGATTATGGGCTCAGTTTTCAAGTTGGTCCAAGTTGGGGTTCAAAATTAAACTTTGTTTGATTTCAACAAAAATTGAATATATGGGGTTCTTTGATATGCTGAATCTAACCATGTATTTTGATTTTGGACATTGGACCATAATAGGTAAATTAAAAAAATTCAAGTTCTTAGACCACATTCTTTCTGTGTCAGAAACCTATGCTGTGTCAAATATTTAATCACAATCCAAATTCAGAGCTGTATCAAGCTTGAATGTTGTGTCCATACTTGCCCCAACTGTTCAGGGTTCGACCTCTGCGGTCGTATCAAGCTGCGCCCAGCGAAGCATTTTATTTGACCTTGACCTCATTTTCAAGGTTCATTGCTCAGTGTTAAGTTTTTGTGTTTTGGTCTGTTTTTCTTAAACTATAAGCAATAGGTCAACTATATTTGTTGTATGGAAGAATTGTTAGCTGTACATGCCTGCCTAGCATGGTTCATCTGACCTTGACCTCATTTTCATGGTTCATTGGTCAATGTTTAGTTTACTTGGTTAATGTTAAGTTTATGTGACAGTCGTAATAAAGCTTTATATTTAGGACTATCAACATAATATCAATGATTAGTAAAGAAGGCGAGACATTTCAGCGTGTGCACTCTTGTTTGGAAGAATATAGAGGTATGATACTTAAACAAGTGATTTGTATGTCATTATACCAGATTTAGTACAAGGTCATCACCTGACATGACCAGTCATCCTTTCAACACAGATGTTGGTTCTGTTAATTTTATCAACATTATAAAATTAGTCCCTGGATCATACATGTCATAAGTATTGTATATTTAAAGCTACAATAAAATTAAATCACTTAGTCTAGTGATTTATTTGTACTACTTAAATAGGTGATTATTAAAGAAAGACAACTCTTACTTCCAACATTTGTGGACAAGATGTTATTTGAATCAGTGATTTAGAAAGCATTCATTTAAGTAAGTCCCCTGACTGAAGAATGCAGACATTGTGATTCTAAATCATCAACAACAAAAATGATCGACATCATTATTGAGAAGGTTGCTATAAGTTGTCCTAGTAATGGACTTCTGGTTACATGCTATAAGTTTTCCTAGTTATAATCAATCAAGATGAACCTGAGATAAAAATTGTGCATGTTGTTCTAATTTCAGAGCAGTGAAAAAAATGTCTGACGATTCTGCTTGTCTGTTTAAAGTCGTAGGTGGTGCCGCTGTGGTTGGTATTGGCTTGTTAGTTATTTTACTACCTATGAGTTTCCATGGATTAAATTATTATGAGGTAAGTGGTGATTGTTACTAAAATCAGGTTGTAGTAAATATTCCTTGTTTGATTAGGTACCAGTCAGTTAAGGATAATACTTATATATACAAGTCATGTTTACTTGAAGATCATGAAGATGTAAGTAGTATTTACTTGAATAACTGTATAAGTAAATTTGTAAGATTTTAATTTTCTTTTCAAGGTTTAACTCTCTCCCCTTAATGTTCTACAAAAATTAAACTTTGTTTACCTCTTAGATTCTCAAGTTTCAACACCACCCTATACCATTTTTTCTAGTTTGCTGATATCTTTTTCATAAGAGGTCCACCGTTTATTTCAAGAACAAAACAAAGAAATGTACTGTTCACATATGTTTAGTAACTCTGCAAGGCCTAACAAAATTGTTCGCTGGAGGCCTGCAGTGGATATACATGTATACATTCATGAGCAGTATTTTTAAGATAACTGATCTATTAAGTTATACGTTTATGAATAGTAAAAGCATCAATTAACATGATTAATGACAGACAAAAAAATTAAAGAATATAGAAAAATGCCCAAATTTTTTAAAGAATACAGAAATGAGGACCCATCAAGACCCTCCACTATTTTTAGTGATTTTTTATTGTTGATTCTTCATTTTAAAATCTCTCTATAGAAGTTTTCAATATATTCTGTACCCGCAGCGTGATTCAGTTGTAATGATTATTCATAGGGAACGCTGGAGATTGATAGTGATAAATTTAATTCACTCAAAACTATTTTCTTTATATATTTTCCGTTGGTTTTGTACCCATAACATGTTTCAGTTAAAAGCACCAATTTTAATATGACACTGCATAATTTTTGATATTATTGCATTTAAGAATTCTGGTTCCATTGATATTATTGTTCTGACATGTTTAGACAAATTAAGTAGGAAGGGATCACAGTGTCAACATCCCTTATAATGTGATGTCACAGTAAAAAATGTGGAATGGTCGGAGAATATTATAAACATACTGCCCTTTGATAAACATGATGAAGGTGTTAGGGTAGATTAGCACACGAGGGAAAAAATTATCACCCTAGACGATGTTTTTTTTTTATACTGAATGCCTTATGATTCAAGTGTGCACTATGTTATTAGAAGGACAATTGTAAAAGAATAAAGTCATAAATTAAGATAATTTACTGATAACAACAACAAAACGACAAATAAGAATCTGTAAAATCTCTGCAAACTTCGGGCTCAGCAGGTGTTAATTTTAGGCATAGCACCCATTGCTAATATTATCACATGTTGCTATGGGTGGGCGGGGCTTATGAAAGGTTAGTGAAAATTTACAAATGCTGCGTGTCCAATGAAATGAATGGATGATATAAGAAATTTGCATAAAGTATAATAAATATAATTAATAAATCTATTAAACTAAAGCAAGATGACTTGGCCAAAGGATGAAAACAATTTTTTTTTTTAAAAGAAAGATTTAAATCATCTGAAAGGATGATTGATGGAACTTACAAATTGTGGCAAAATGATGGCTTTCAATTCAAAAGTCTGGGGTAAACACCTAGCTTTGCTTCATCATTTTATTTACCCATTTATCAATGTTGATTGGATAAATATCTTAACCAATGGGGTTGGGTGATAAAACTTTAAACCCCACCCATTTTGTACCTGTAACAAAGTCAAGCTATTTAAACCATGTGTTTTTCGTTGTTGTTTGCCATTATTTTACATTGATTTTCTGGGAGAAGTGAGGGTTGTTTTCTGTTTTACAGTCAATACATGTACTTTAGGTAATTCCTGATAGCATTTTATGTATTATTCATGTTATTTGATAAATTTTGATATATATATATTGAATCTATAGTTTTGAGAACCCTATGAATCATTGTAGCTTACAATATATTTTTTGTTCACAGATGGGATTTAAGAGGCAGAAAAGTACAGGAACTGTAAAGTTGGACCATACTTATGAGAGTGGACTGCACTTGATTGGACCTGACTTTGAGTTTAAAGTTTTCCCAGCAGACAGCCATGACGTTAACTTGTACAATATTAAAGCCTTCACTTCTGATAAACTAGAGGTTTGTTATATTTACTGTAAAATTTACAGATAACTATATTGTAGTTGAAGCTTTGCGGACGTCCATCGGTAGTTTTACTGTCGCAAATTGAGTTTACCTGGTGACGCGTAGCAGACGTCCGCAAAGCTTCAAATACAATACAGTTATCTCTATTCTAATGCAAAATAATCAAATCATTGAATTTTAGTCATTATTTCAGTGTAAAATCTTCATTAAATGAAATTCCGTGAAATTATGTTATCTTCTTTGGTGCCTTAACTATGTGACGTCATAGGTATATGCTCCCCGGCATCAAACGTAAACACTGGGCGTTTTCTGGCTTATTGTCCACTCCAGAGTGAAATAAAATTTGATAAAAAGAAGATTTCTAGGTGCAAAATGTAAGTTTTTAGATTAATACTGGTGAAATTACATGTCAATACATTCAGGAATTCAAAATGTCAGCTTTCTTATTTACAGACAGGGAGATAGAGAATTTTATGATTATTGTCATCCAATCAGAACCATTGATACAAAATAATTGCATTAGAATAAGTATTAAAACATTATTAAGCATAAAGGACAGGTGTGTTTAACTTCTATGTTAATAGATTAGGATTGCCAGTTTTCCTAACTAAGGTTGGTGATTCTCTCCTGGTCATCCATCATCCTTCACCAATATAACCATCATCCTTCACCAATATAAATTGATTCAGAAATTATTGCGACCACTTATATGGTGATTTTGACATGACAAACCAAAATTAGAGAATAACTTTTGTGATTTCAGGAAAACATGGATAAAAAACTTTAAAATGTAGTATCACATATCAGAATGCAAGTTCTTATTACATGTATTGTGATAGTCCACCAGACCCATTATTGGTATTAACAAAAACCTCCCAATAATTTCTGAATTATTAGTATTATACATTGTCTGTCAAAAAAAGGACTTTTTGGAGTAAAAATTGCATGAAATGCAATCAAAACCCTATGGTACTGACTTGATATCTATATCTTCCAAGGTTGATCACTTCCTTTGATAGTTCAGACAAATGGTGCAGTGAAGTGATCATTATTTAGATTCTAACCTGTCAATATTATGCAATTTATTGATGATGTATGTTATACTTTGATATATTTAAGTTACAATATGATTTGTACTTGAGTTACCATACTTGTCAAGGAAATATTTTTTTTTATTAAAAATTACATAAGTAATGCATGGACTTTTGTGTATAGGTTCAACAACAAATGTGCAATCATGAACAAAGGTAGATAACTCCAGATTAAATTTTAACTTGCTTAGCAAAATACAATTCAATGTTTATTTAAGAATCCCCAAAATTGCAAAATGAAAGCAATCTTTACCCTTCAATACCATGAGTACTCACAAGCACTTTGATTATGAAAATGTTATCAATTGGAATATCAGCAGAAATTTTTTTCTACTTCTTTGTTTACTGTAAATTAAGAAATTTAGCTATGTTTTTATTATTGCGAAAATTGCAACAGGGTAGGACTCGCTAAAGTGAAAATTTCCATTTTGAATTTGAATTTCATCATTTCTTTGCTGTATTTCCTATAATGACAGTAATTTTGCAGATTGTTCAACAGTAGCAAAAATAAATGCACACAATAATTTCCAAAGGAGTAGGCCCAGTAAGACCCCTTTTTGGCCCCAAAATATAGCAGTTTTACTTACAAAATTGCTAAAATGTAAATTTTCAGCTATTTATTGGAAAGAAGAATACTTCTGTTACATAAATATGGGCTGTTTTTGATAATACAATGCACATGCATTGGGTACTAGCATCATTAAGTCATGCTTAATTATTGAAATCCTCCAAATTTTAATATTTTGGTTAATTTTTAGACGGTTTCCGTCTGAAATGGAAGTGGCCGCATTTGTGTTCATTCTTAATATTTAAATGTAAGTTGTATTTGATGATAATACATAACATATATAAAGGTTGAGAATGAACACAGATGCGGCCACTTTCATTTTTGACAAAACCATCTGAATAGTGACATATTATGGCATATTTGATAGATTTTTCATATTTAAGCTTGAATTTGAGCGTCTTTAATGACTAAATCAGTTAAAAATTTTCACATAAACTAATTGAATCGACTGAATTAGACACTTAAGTGTTTAAAAAGTTTCCAAAATCTTTCATCAGATGAACCTGAATTTTGAGGCCAAAATCAGCCCTTACCGGACCTTCTCCTTTAAAAGTATACTGTTCATGATGATTTATGTGTGACTTGCTTATAATAATATATGCCATTGTACATTTCAGGTCAAGGTTTCAGTATCATTTCAGTATTTCTTGCGTCCTTATGAATTAGCAGATCTCCACAATAAATTCAACATGGATTATGAAGACGTAGTGAGATCGAAAGCTATAGATGCTTTAAAGGTTTGTAACTTCAATTTATATTTGTTGTTCAGTTTGTCTGATGTATTGTTATCTGTTGCTCCAACATGGTCAAATCCAACCTGAGAGCTTGGGGGTGTAACAGGCAACCTTACCACCTGATGTCTCATTCGAAATGACCTGTGATCTGCAACTTTTAAAGATGTTCTTCAATTTGCTTATAAGTGATCTGGTGACCTGAGGCATTTTTAAAAGCGACTTTGTGACCTAAGACATGAAGAATGGATGATTCTACCGTCTAATACTGTGAATTCATTATTACTCGTGGGGTACCAATTTCCATTAGGTTTGGGTAAATCTCAAGCTTAAATGTTTATCAAAGAAAATTTCTTAAAACTTGTATGCACTTTAGCAAATCCATGATATCAAATTGAAATATCCACACTTTTTTCTTAATCTATGAAATTTGTACCCACAAAAATAAATGATGCCACAGTATATTATTTAGGTTGGCCTCAATGTCCAAAAATATTTAGTAAGAAATTAAATTTCCACATAGAAATATTGTCAGAAAACTGTGATATTTACAGAAAAGAACAAGGAATATATTGTAGTTACAGTTTTACATCCAATCCAATACTGTGGATTCATTTATATTTTTGTAGGTACTAATTTTCATGGATTTAGGAAAAATTGTATTTTTGTGGAAATTTGATTTCTTAGTTTGGACAAAGTCTGCATAAAAGCATGTATAAACAGTACATCTGAAAGGTCTAAATTGTAAGAACAAATATTCCTGTCTTATAATTATTAACTTATGGTCTGGATGTGATACTATATAGAGAAAATGTGTAAAAGAAATAAAGAATAGAGAAAAATAGGCCAAAAAATGAAGGAAGAGAATATGGGTGCTCAGATATAAAGAGAAAGAGAAATGGCATAAAAAGATAAAGAATACAGGAAATGGTGATCCCCCTCCTTACATCAACCCTATAAACTTTTTGCCATAACTCAAAATGAATTAACCTGTACGTCCTAAAGTCATAAGGATGAAGACAGATCTTCAGTAGATATTTCGATCCTGGGAAAAATTGTAATTGAGTTATCTTTCTTGAAACAAAATTATTGTTTTCTGGTTCCTTCTTTCAATGTGGCTTCTGTTCAGTATTTTCAGAAATGTTAGTAGGCACAGACCAAAAAACATCTGATTTATAAAAAAAGTAACGGAATTCAAGTAAACTGATGTTTTGGAATGGGTTCATTACAGTTTTCGTCTTTTTATAGATAACTTTTTTATCATGAAACTGCCGACTGACAGATTGTATTTATATGAATTAATTTTGAAGATAATTAATGACCTGTCTGATAAGCGGATTACCAGTCACAACAAATTATGACCCCTATTGTGGGGCGCATTGCATTTGCGCCAATTTTTACAAAATCCAATCTTCATGATCTTTCATTTGCGCCACAAGGTTATATTTCAATTGTGCCAAAAAATAAAAACTACATTTGCGCCATTTTACAGGTAACATATATAACTGAAAAGTATAAAAAATTTATTGCTTCATCGTGAATAAGTTTTTAGCTCACCGGGGCCCAAAGGGCCCCATGTGAGCTTATGCCATCACTTGGCGTCCGTCTTCGTCTGTCGTCGTCGTCGTCGTCTGTATTCGTCTGTCGTCGTAAACTATTTCAAAAATCTTCTTCTCTGAAACTACAGGGCCAAATACCTTCAAACTTTAATTAAATGTTCCTTAGGGTATCTAGTTTATAAATTGTATCCGAAGTTTTGATCCAGCAACAAACATGGCTGCCATGGCTAAAAATAGAACATAAGGGTCAAATGCAGTTTTTGGCTTGTATCTCAAAAACTAAATCTTTTAGAGCGAATGTGACATGGGTAAAATTGTTCAATTGGTCAAGATCTATCAGCTCTGAAATTTTCAGACGAATCGAACTTCCCATTTTTGGGTTGCTGCCACCGAATTGGTAGTTTTAACAAAATTTTGCAGTTTTTTGTTATTATTTTGAATATTTTTATAGATATATATAAACTGTAAGCAGCAATAATGTTCAGCAAAGTAAGATCTACAAAAAAGTTAATATGACCATAATTGTCAATTGACCCCTTAAGGGGTTATTGCCCTTTAAAGACAATTTTACACAATTTGTTCATCAAGTTTGCTAACATTTAAAAATCTTCTCCTCTGAAACTACTGGGCCAATTACCTTCAAACTTTAACTAAATGTTCCTTAGGGTATATTGTTTATAAATTGTATCCGAAGTTTGTATCCATCGACAAACATGGCCGCCATGGCTAAAAATAGAACATAAGGGTCAAATGCAGTTTTTGGCTTACATCTCAGGCCTCTACAATAACTTTTTTTTCAACTTGTCCAGTAGGACAAGTACAACCCAAAACTTACTTGTCCGAATGAAATTGGAACTTGTCCAAAACAAATCTTAATAATAACCTTTTTTGCCTAATAAGTTGATCCAAGGAACAAAATGAATTAAAACAACAGAACAGAATCATGAGAATTTGATTTATATCTTTTGAAATACTTTTCAAAAATATGAGTCGAGAACAACTGAATCTAGTCATGTCACAGGGCTTAGGTTCTAGTTTTCATCAATGCCAAAGACTCATCAGACTCTGCACATGAGGCACCGTCTGATAGGCCTGTCAATGTACACTCATTGGATTTGTATCCTGGTTGTTTAAGTTGAAAAAAGATTATTCAAATGCAATCAATAAAAAAAGAAGATGATGTATGATTGCCAATGAGACAACTCTCTGCAAGAGACCAAAATGACACAGAAATTAACAACTATAGGTCACTGTATTTCAAGTATTGTTTCTTTCTACATATGATCAAATATGATTTTGTGAATTTTATGGTAAATAATTTCTTCTTTTTTATTTAAAAAATATTTTTGTTAAAAAAATTACCGGTATGGTATTTATTATAAAGCAACAGAATAAGGTAGGAAAACAGGTACTGATTTGTCTTGGTCCCGAAATGTCTCCTGCGTTTCCAAACTGTCTATTAATCATGTCTATTAAATATGTCTCCTACGGTGCCAAACTGTCTATTAAACTTAGGAGCCGAATTGTTTCCAAACTGGTGAAGAACTGTCTTGTGAAGTTACCTTTTCTACAAAGCGCATCACTGATTCGGATCAGTAAAACTGGTTTCCGAAAATAGTATGCCTTTTACCTATTAAAAAGTACCTGACAAAGATCCAGTTTAAAATTATCGGTTTGCAAGTAAACATGTCAAATTAATACTTGTTTTTATCTTCTTTTCTTGTTTTTTGTTTATAATTACTTTGTTCATCAAAGTTGGATTAAATTTATTTTCTGCAGAATAATTTTACTTGTCCCGTCGGACAAGCTTGATCTAGCTTTTACTTGTCCGACCTTTTTTTCCTCTGGTACCAGACAATCGGACAAGCGTTATTGTCGAGGCCTGCATCTCAAAAACTAAATCTTTTAGAGCAAATGTGACATGGGGTAATGTTTAATTGGTCAAGATCTATCGGACCTGAAATTTTAAGACGAATCGAACGACCCATTGTTGGGTTGCTGCCACTGAATTGGTAGTTTTAACAAAATTTTGCAGTTTTTATACGACCGCAAAAAAATTTTTGTGGTCGTATATTGGTATGACATTGGCGTCGTTGTCGTCGTCGTCCGGCGTCGTCGTCGTCGTCCGGCGTCGTCGTCGTCGTCCGGCGTCGTCCGAAGACACATTGGTTTTCGCACTCTAACTTTAGTTTAAGTGAATGGATCTTTATGAAATTTTACCACAAGGTTCAATACCACAAAAGGAAGGTTGGGATTGATTTTGGGGGTTATGGTAATAACAGTAAAGGAATTAGGGACCAAAAAGGGGCCAAAAATAAGCATTTTTGTAACTTCCAGACATAACTTGTGTGTTAGTGTATGGATCTCTCTGACATTGTACCACAAGGTTCCATATCACTAAAGGAATGCTGGGATTGATTTTGGGGGTAATTGCCTCCAAATTTTAGGAATTAGGGGCCAAAAAAGGGGCAAAAAACAAGCATTTTTCTAGTTTCATGACAATAACTTGTGTGTAAGTGTATGGATCTTTCTGAAATTGTACTACAAGGTTCCATATCACAAAGGGAAAGCTGGGTTTGAGTTTGGGGGTAATTGCCCTAAACGTTTAGGAATTTGGGGCCAAAAAGGGGCCAAAAAACACATTTTTTTCTAGTTTCCAGACAATAACTTGTGTTCAAGTGTATGGATCTCTCTGAAATTGTACTGCAAGGTACCATACCACAAAGGGAAGGCTGGGATTGAGTTTGGGGGTGATGAATCATAATGGGGGTTCAAAAAATTTTGGGGGGGGATTTTTTTTTTTTCCTTTTTTTTCCTTTTTTTCCTTTTTTGTTTCTTTTAAAATTTTCCATTTTAAGTTGGTTATTTCTGATTTATATTTAAAATCAAATAATAATGATATGGTAGGAGATACACACAAAACAGGATGTGTAAATTATTATATAATAAGTATTGTGCAATAGCAAGAAATTTTCAATTGCACAGTATTGCACAATAGCAAGAAATCTTCAATTGCACAGTATTGCGCAATAGCAAGAAATCTTCAATTGCACAGTATTGCGCAATAGCAAGAAATATCCAATAGCACAATATTGCGCAATAGCAAGAAATTGTCAATTGTACAGTATTGCGCAATAGCAAGAAATATTTAATAGCACAGGATTGTGCAAAAGAAGATACTTCCTATAAATTGCTTATTTCTTGACCAATTTCAATGGGGTTTTATTCTTGATTTCATGGGGTTCTTTAATATGCTGAATCTAACCGTGTATTTAGTTTTTGGATTTTGGGCCCCGTTTTTAAATTGGTCCACATTGAGGTCCAAAGGGTCCAAAATTAAACTTTGTTTGATTTCATCAAAAATTGAATTATTGGGGTTCTTTGATATGCCGAATCTAACCGTGTATTTAGATTCTTAATTTTTGGTTCCGTTTTCAAATTGGTCTACATTAAGGTCCAAAGGGTCCAAAATTAAACTTAGTTTGATTTTAACAAAAATTGAATTCTTAGGGTTCTTTGATATGCTGAATCTAAACATGTATTTAGATTTTTGATTATGGGCCCAGTTTTCAAGTTGGTCCAAATCGGGGTCCAAAATTAAACTTTGTTTGATTTCAACAAAAATTGAATATATGGGGTTCTTTGATATGCTGAATCTAACCATGTATTTAGGTTTTTGATTTTTGGGCCCCGTTATCAACTTTGTCCACATTGAGGTCAAAAGGGTCCAAAATTAAACTTTGTTTGATTTCATCAAAAATTGAATTCTTGGGGTTCTTTGATATGCTGAATCTAACCATGTATTTAGATTTTGGATATTGGACCATAATAGGTGAATGTCCAATTTAAAATTTTTAAGTTCTTAGACCACATTCAATCTGTGTTAGAAACCTATGCTGTGTCAAATATTTAATCACAATCCAAATCCAAAGCTGTATCAAGCTTGAATGTTGTGTCCATACTTCCCCCAACTGTTCAGGGTTCGACCTCTGCGGTCGTATCAAGCTGTGCCCTGCGGAGCATTTTATTGATTATGGGCCCAGTTTTCAAGTTGGTCCAAATCAGGGTCCAAAATTAAACTTTGTTTGATTTCAACAAAAATTGAATATATGGGGTTCTTTGATATGCTGAATCTAACCATGTATTTAGATTTTTGATTTTTGGGCCCCGTTATCAACTTTGTCCACATTGAGGTCAAAAGGGTCCAAAATTAAACTTTGTTTGATTTCATCAAAAATTGAATTATTGGGGTTCTTTGATATGCCGAATCTAACCGTGTATTTAGATTCTTAATTTTTGGTTCCGTTTTCAAATTGGTCTACATTAAGGTCCAAAGGGTCCAAAATTAAACTTAGTTTGATTTTAACAAAAAATGAATTCTTAGGGTTCTTTGATATGCTGAATCTAAACATGTATTTAGATTTTTGATTATGGGCCCAGTTTTCAAGTTGGTCCAAATCGGGGTCCAAAATTAAACTTTGTTTGATTTCAACAAAAATTGAATATATGGGGTTCTTTGATATGCTGAATCTAACCATGTATTTAGATTTTTGATTTTTGGGCCCCATTATCAACTTTGTCCACATTGAGGTCAAAAGGGTCCAAAATTAAAATTTGTTTGATTTCATCAAAAATTGAATTCTTGGGGTTCTTTGATATGCTGAATCTAACCATGTATTTAGATTTTGGATATTGGACCATAATAGGTGAATGTCCAATTTAAAATTTTTAAGTTCTTAGACCACATTCAATCTGTGTTAGAAACCTATGCTGTGTCAAATATTTAATCACAATCCAAATCCAAAGCTGTATCAAGCTTGAATGTTGTGTCCATACTTCCCCCAACTGTTCAGGGTTCGACCTCTGCGGTCGTATCAAGCTGCGCCCTGCGGAGCATTTTATTTGTTATTATTTTGAATATTTTTATAGATATATATAAACTCCAAGCAGCAATAATGTTCAGCAAAGTAAGATTTACAAAAAAGTTAATATGACCATAATTGTCAATTGACCCCTTAAGGAGTTATTGCCCTTTAAAGACAATTTTACACAATTTGTTCATCAAGTTTGCTAACATTTAAAAATCTTCTCCTCTGAAACTACTGGGCCAATTACCTTCAAACTTTAATTAAATGTTCCTTAGGGTATCTTGTTTATAAATTGTATCCGAAGTTTTGATCCATCGACAAACATGGCCACCATGGCTAAAAATAGAACATAAGGGTCAAATGCAGTTTTTGGCTTATATCTCAAAAACTAAATCTTTTATAGCAAATGTGACAGGGGTAAAATTGTTTAATTGGTCAAGATTTATTGGCCCTGAAATTTTCAGACGAATTGGAACAACCCATTGTTGGGTTGCTGCCACCGAATTGGTAGTTTTAACAAAATTTTGCAGTTTTTGTTGAGCCTGCGACTTTTGTCGCAGAAAGCTCGACATAGGGATAGTGATCCGGCAGCGGCGGCGGCGGCGTTAGCTAACTTCTTAAAAGCTTTATATTTTAGAAGGTGGAAGATCTGGATGCTTCATACTTTGTATATGGATGCCTCATGTTACGAAGTTTCTGTCAGTCCCATGTCCAATGTCCTTGACCTCATTTCATGGTTCAGTGACTACTTGAAAAAAAAGTTAAGATTTTTTGTAATGTTAAATTCTCTCTTATTATAAGTAATAGGATAACTATATTTGGTATGTGCGTACCTTGCAAGGTCCTCATGCCCGTCAGACAGTTTTCACTTGACCTCTACCTCATTTCATGGATCAGTGAACAAGGTTAAGTTTTGGTAGTCAAGTCCATATCTCAGATACTATAAGCAATAGGTCAAGTATATTTTGTGTATGGAAGGACTGTAAGGTGTACATGTCCAACTGGCAGGTGTCATCTGACCTTGACCTCATTTTCATGGTTCAGTGGTTATAGTTAAGTTTTTGTGTTTAGGTCTGTTTTTCTTATACTGTATGCAATAGGTTTACTATATTTGGTGTATGGAATGATTGTAAGGTGTACATGTCTAGCTGGCAGGTGTCATCTGACCTTGACCTCATTTTCATGGTTCAGTGGTCAAAGTTAAGTTTTTGAGTTTTGGTCTTTTTTTCTAATACTTTATGCAATAGTTCAACTATATTTGGTGTATGGAAATATTTTATGATCTATATGTCAGTCACGCAGGTTTTATTTGACCTTGACCTCATTTTCAAGGTTCATTGCTCAGTGTTAAGTTTTTGTGTTTTGGTCTGTTTTTCTTAAACTATAAGCAATAGGTCAACTATATTTGTTGTATGGAAGAATTGTTAGTTGTACATGCCTGCTAGCATGGTTCATCTGACCTTGACCTCATTTTCATGGTTCATTGGTCAATGTTTAGTTTACTTGGTTAATGTTAAGTTTATGTGACAGTTGTAATAAAGCTTTATATTTAGGACTATCAACATAATATCAATGATTAGTAAAGAAGGCGAGACATTTCAGCGTGTGCACTCTTGTTTGTTATTATTTTGAATATTATTATAGATATATATAAACTGTAAGCAGCAATAATGTTCAGCAAAGTAAGATCTACAAAAGATTTAATATGACCAAAATTGTCAATTGACCCCTTAAGGAGTTATTGCCCTTTAAAGACAATTTACACAATTTGTTCATCAAGTTTGCTAACATTTAAAAATCTTCTCCTCTGAAATACAGGTGAGCGATTCAGGCTCTTGAGAGCCTCATGTTCTTTAGTATATTCCCCCTGGGTAACTAAGTAAGTTCATACTCATTTCTAATATAAAACTTAGAGTCACTTAGGTTTAAAACTATATAGTGTTCACATGTTTGAGGTGTCAAGATGGACATTGTCAATTCTGAGACAATTATGCTGTTAGTTTTCTCATTTGGATTGTTTCATATTTTTCATGTCGGGGCAGTTTATAGCCGACTATATGGTATGGGCTTTCTCATTTTTGAAGGCCGTACGATTGCCTATAATTGCTTTCATCCACTTCATTTGAACTTTGATGGATAGTTGTCTCATTGACAATCATACCACAGTGCATATCTCCTTATTTTTATATAGAGGAAATAAGTTTATTTTTAATGACCGTACATATAGGTTATCCAATGTACATGAGTACATCCTAGTCGTTGCTTACAAGGCTTGTGTCAGAACAAACATTTGGTTTTACTCCAGTGTATATTGCTTTCTTTTAGGTTTTATATCTCATTAATTGATAATATAACTGTGTTTTAACATTATTATGAAAAGTCTCTTATTAGGAATGTACTAGTGTATAGTGCTTTCATTATGGTTACAGTGACTGATTTCAGAGAAATATGTGTTTTAAAGTTATTATCAAAAATCTCTTTTGAATAAAACTACTTTTTATACTATTTACCTGTATTGTTGGCGCAATTGAAATGTTTTATTTTGGCGCAAATGAAAGATTATTTTGGCGCAAATGAAATGCCAATTGGTGCAAAAGCAAAGCACCTCTATTGTGACTGTTAATTTGCTAGGGGTTGTAAACTTGTCATAAACATGTCTCCAGGAAAAATAAAACAGAAAAAAATTGTATTTATTCTTTTACAAATTTAAGTGATGAAATTGATCAGAAATACCTTTGTTCAAAAATCTTTTCATAAATGGTGAAAATGACAAGCGCTGGTAAAATCATTGTATAAATTCTGTTTGTAAGAAAAAGTATTGCTATAACTTTACAAACTTACTTTTTGTGAAGGATTCTACAAGCTACTATGTTTTACAGGGTGCCATTCCTGTGTACAATACCAGAGAGGTTGTCAAGAAAAGAAGAGAAATAGAAGAGGTTATTTACAAGGCTGTTAGAGAAAGACTAGGAGGAATTTGTTGTGCACCTCAAGAATATTGTAAATCATGGAAATTTGGTAAGGTTTTTACACCACAGTTCTCAAAATATTTTTCACCTGGTGGTTTTTGAGAAAAAAATCTGCTGGTCCACCTTATTTCTATTGCAAAACACCAAAGTTCTGTCGGTTCTTTGCAAGATTTTGGTGGTAAAAATCTTTGGACCACTACTTTTTCGAGAACTCAGTTACAATTCTTGGTATACAATATAAATGATTTATATTTTCTATGAAATTGTTTATTTCAATTGAATAACATTATTGTTTTATTTGATGGATGTTATACCCTTGGTTTGTATTGAAACTCTTTGGTCAACTAGAAAGTAGTCTCCCTTGGGTAGAAATTATGTTTAATTAACAATTTTTAAATGGTACAAATGAATCACGAATTTAAATGTTCAAGGAAGATTAGATTTTTAACATGGCTTGTATGTAATCTTTTGCAAAACCACAAAAGTACAATATTTCCTTAAACCAACAAAATTGGTACCAACAAAAATAAATTAATCTGAATTATTACCAATTATTAAATTTCAGCCTGTCCTATAAACTGTAAAAGTAGGGACATCTGTAACGATGATGATAAAGGTGTCTATGTTGATGTGAAGTTTTTCCAACTTGGTAGCATCAGAATTCCTCATACTGTGGAAGAAAGATTTCTCCGTCAGCTTGTTCTTCAAGAGGAAACAGATAGAGAGAAGTTACTGCAGGGTGCTCAGATTGTAAGAAAGCAGACTGACTTTGAGGTATGGAAACAGAGGTCTTAATTTTTTTTTAGTCAAGTGGTCATTAGGACCACCAGGACTACAAATCTGTTGTTCCCAGTGAAAATTTGGGGTATTCTTGGTTATATTTTGATATCAATTGTTTCTACAGATAAAAGTTAGATAATGCCAATTTTCACAATCATTATTTGGTTTCATGCCAAATATTGATAAACATTGTAATTAGGAGGTATATTAAACATGCTAAAAACCAGAAAAAAAAAAGAATAAAACGCACAACAAACTTTAATTCTGACATCAGGACCACACCTTCTTGATTTTTGGTGGTCAGTTGCATTGCTCATACTATCATAGACCAGAGAAATTTATATAAGTGCACTGAACCATCACACAGTGGTGGATCCAGAACTTTTTGTAAGTGGGGCCCGCTGACTGACCTAAAGGGGGGCCACTCCAGTCACGCTTCAGTGATTCCCTATGTAATCAACCAAATTTTTCCCATAAAAGGGGGGGCCAGGGCCCCCCTGGATCTGCCTATGTCACACTTTTATTCAAAATAAGGAGAAGTGGTATGATTGCCATTGAGACAACTATCCATAGCCAAATTTATGGCAAGGATGTTAGCAACTATAGGTCACTTATAACCTTTAACAATGAGCAAACCCATACCGCATAGCAATCTGTAAAAGGCCCAATCAGGACAAAATGTCAAACAATTCAAACGAGACAGTCAACAGCCTGGTTAACATACAAAACAACTAACGACAACCACTGAATTACAGGCTCCTGACATGGGACAGGCACAAACAGAATGTTGCATGTTAAAATTATTGTATACAGAGAGTTTAAAACATTAACCATCAAACTTTTAAGATATTAAATCGTCACATTTTAATGCATACCATCATGCTTAAGATTAATCCTCACATTTTATCAACCTAATCAGACTTTCAAGAACACCAGCATGGACTCATCCAAACCATTTGAAATTTCCAATCATAATATCAAATTCTGTTAAACGAAAATAACACTTCATAAATTTGGTGTGTCCAAAGCTCTTTTCTCGATTAACCTTCAGCATAAACTCTCAAACCACAAAAATTGAAAGCCAAGGATGTTTCAATAATAGTTTCAAGAGCAGTTTGTGACATTCTTTTGCAGGTTAGGGTAATAAAGAATAAAGCTTTGGAGCTGAGTGAGGAAGCAGAAGCTACGTCTAGACTTTTACATGTAACAGCTGCTGCTAACTATACTTCAGAGGTATGTTAATATACAATAATTGACTTTTGATGAGGTTGATACAAGGATTTATCAACCCCAGATATGATATTCACCGAGGCCAATGGCCGAGGGTGAATGTCATATCTCTGGCATTGGTAAATCATTGTAGCAACTGAAATCAAAAGTCAACAGTTGTTTTAATATATGACTTTTTATTCTTCTCCAATTTTCTAGTATTTGCTCAAGATACTTTTGAGACTGCTCTCTGTTTTTATACTAGATATATCATCTGCTTTTGCAACTGCTAATTTTCATAAGTTGAAATATTCAATAAAGTTTACTATTAATAATACACCGAAAAACAAAAGCATGAGAAAAAAAACACTGAAAACAAGAAGAAAAAGAAAAATACACCAAAAACAAGAAGAAAAAAACACAGAGAATAAGAAGAAAAAGAAAAAAAACAGGAATTTACTTGACGTCATAAGTCTATGTCATTGACATTGCCTTGGAATATCTATATTTAAGTACACAGATGCTGTTACAAATCTTATATCAACCTCTCCTGATTTTTGACGCGGGGAATGTAATGTTTTATTAAAGAGGTTTTCCTATGCTTTTAGCCAATGAGAAAACAGAAAATTTATAGTCTAATAATAATATAAAATATTATCTTATATACAATAATATGTAATACCTGCAGTAAAACCTTATTTCAAATTCTATCATAATCAGTTATACAAGCAAGACATTTAAGTGTGCAACCTTGGTCTATCATTAAAATACGGTTGATTCAATATTCAATAATGTTAATGAAATCATGGTTCACCTATCAAATAGCATTGTTCTCCTTCCAAATTTCATATAGCATCCTGGAAAACATTGATTTTTGAAATACCATCCTCTTTCCCGAAATTATAGCACCACATACATACATGTATGTACAATGATTACACAATCTGTAAGAAAATCATTTTTGATAGTATCTCATACACCTTGTCCCTTTTTGTCTGCCATCACAGACATTCCTGTAAAATTTTGACATCATAAGAGAAAATGTCTTGACACAACAATGCAGAAGTGATTGTTGTACGATAGTCAATAGTTCATGTTTGGCAAAATCTCAGGTCAAGGTTCGCAGATTCTGAAAAATCAATAAGGTCTATTCAAGAAATATAGCATCACATTACATTGATGCTAACAAGACCATGGGGAGGACACTGATTACAAACAAACTTAACTTTTATGCACAAAGTACACACTAATGAATAGTTCAGCTGTAAAACAGTAAATATATTTCCAGGTTGAAGGAGCTAGAAGTATTGGCCTTACCAAACTGTACAACAATCTAGGAATAACCAAGCAAGAACATAAGAACAGCTTCGACTATTTACGTACTCTTCGAGGAATGGATAATATATGGCTGACTGTTGACTATCAACAAAGAATTATGGGAAATTTAGGTTCTAGATAAGTTTCTAGGAAATTTGTTTTTTTGAATTGTTACGAATTTTTTTACAGCTGGTCTACCTTTCTTTAATGACACAAAAAACTTTTATATTCATGAAATTTTAATTTGTGGTTTGTGTGTCAGTTTTTCCGTTTTTCTAATACTTGGGTATAGTATGTGATTTCAGATATCAACATTTTTTTCTTACAAAACAAGGTCAAATTGATTCGTGAAACGTTTTGTAGAAATTTGTTCTACTTTAATGTATTATCACTATTAATTGGAATTATTTCCAAGGCCCAAAAGACTTAATTTTCAATTTTAAACAACTGTTATATTACTAAATTCAAACATTCAAGATTTTGGACCTCCATAATTGTCACTAACATAATTGGAATTATTTCAAAGTTCAAAAAATCTTCATTTTCAATCTTACTCAACTGTCAAGATTTTAGACCTACATACTTTTCCGTAAATAATGTGTGTAGGACATTATCCTTGTAAGAAATAAATTCATTATTCATGATTAATCACAAAATGTTTAACTAAATACTGAAGTTCTTTCATTGTACAAAACGTGCTACAGTAAAAAGTGATATTTTTTCCAATCGTGTCATGTTATGACATAAGCAGGTCATTCTACCAAGATGTGTGACTTCATAGTAATTTCAAGGTTAAAAACTCCAATACCTTCTTGTGACTTTTTAATTAAAGCTGACCAGCTGATAAAAAATGGTTGTAGTTTTTTTTTTTTATCAACATTAAACCTCCTGCTTAACTTGCACACCTCATTGAGGAGTAATACATTCATTTTGTACTTATATAAAAGCCATATATTTGATATTATATTTATCTACAATTCTCAACTATTAAAATTTTTGCTCAAAGTTTTTACACATATTCTAGGCTATCACAATTATTCCTTGCAAGCCAACTATTATTGAATATACTGCTTCAAAGTGGGAAATTTCGCAAATTGTTTACTTTCGCTAAAACTGATAAAACATTGGATGATTGAACCTTAATCTTGTGGCATATTAGAATCAAAGACTTGAAAAACATAAAAAAAACTTACAGGTTCGATCCAAGAAATTACATAATTTAAACTCTGCAAAATATAAACACTATAATACATGTATATAGACTATCTGTCAGACAACAAGTGCAAGAAATGATAATCTCATTTTGGTCAACTTAATTTTTTTCTTAATTATGATGTTAAAAAAACATCAAGCATTTTGGATCATTCTTACATTTATTCTGGTTTTCCAAAAATACTTGATTTACTTAATTTTTTTATTTGACGTATGCTAAATTAGTATAAAAAAGTAGATTGGTTAAGGTTGATTTGGAAGTTACTTGATACCTCTCCACATCTATTTATAGTAAAAACCCTAAATGGTGTTGTACATAATCTTCCACATCCATTTAAATGGAATAGCTGCTCCACATCCATTTTAATGGAATACCCATAAAATGATGTTGTAAGAATTTGTTTGGGTTGTAAAAGCATTTACTGGTGAATTTACTTTGTACTGCTGTTTCACATTTTATACTTTTATTTTCAACATGACATTTTAAAACCGCTGTGAATTCAGAAGCTATTGCATGCATTTATTATTGTGGTTGTTGATCAGGAAACAAAAATTTAAGATTTAAGAATGAGAAAATCTGATTAAAATGCATATCCTGTGTCCATGCTTTGCTTACAAAGATCTGACAACATCGAATTCTTCTTTCTGTTCTGATACTTATTACATCAACCAATGAAATTTTTGCCTCTAAATTTTTAAAGGTATGTTTCATAAAGACAAAACTGAACTATCCCAAAATGTTCTTCAAAACCAAAGATAGGATGGTACATTGTCAGATCCTTGTAAGCAAAGGGTGGATACAGAATCGGTATTTCAATAACATTTTTGATGTGATTGCAGAAAATGATGAATAATGCAACTGGCATGACTGGATTGAGAATTTAAGTTCTGATTAACATGACTAACACATTGCTAATTCTAATGCATAAAAGAATTCATTAAAGAAAATTCAAAATTCATAGTACATGTAATATAAATGTTGTTTAATGGCATTTGTTCAACAGCATTAAAAATTATTTTCTGTTTTATAAACAGTATTATTTTTGTTTTCGTATTAACTCGAGTAAATCATGAATTTGACCAAAATATGTTAACATGATAATTACTGCTGATCAATAAAAACATAGGGAGTCAGGAAAGACACTTCTAAACCACATATTTGGTTTGGCATTTGTATACAGCGAAAGTCAAAGAAATTATAAAATTGAATACAGTTGATTACCCAAATTTCAAATTGCCTCTCCTGGGTACCATGTATGTTTAACAGGACAGCCAGACAATCAAATTTATTGTTATTTGTTTTATCTAACTGTAAGAAAATCAAATCTTATTCAATGATAAGGATTAGTTTTAGTATTGAATGTCTGATGTATTAGTAGATTTATATATTAATGAAACAAGGGTTTATTTAGTTTATTTTCAATATCAAATCTTTCTTTGATAAAAGTACTCACATTTTTAGCTCACCTGGCCCAAAGGGCCAAGTGAGCTTTTCTCATCACTTTGCGTCAGTCGTCCATCGTCGTCGTCATCCGGCGTCGTCTGTTAACTTTTACAAAAATCTTCTCATGACCAAAATAGTCAATTTTTAACAATTTTTTGTAAATTTTTGTAATCTTTTACAAAAATCTTCTTCTCTGAAACTACTGAGACAAATTTAACCATACTTGGCCATAATCATTATTAGGGTATCTAGTTTAAAAAATTTGTCCAATGACCCCACCTTCCAACCATCATGGCGGACTTGGTTAAAAATAGAACATAGGGGTAAAATGCAGTTTTTGGTTTATATCTCTGAAACTAAAGTATTTAGAGCAAATCTGACAAGTGGCAAAAATGTTCATTAGATTTACATTTATCTGCCCTGAAATTTTCAGACAAATCCGACAACCCGTTGTTGGGTTGCTGCCCCTGAGTTAGTAATTTTACAAAAAATTTGCAGTTTTTTGTTATTATCTTAGATATCATTTCAATATCTGATATCTAATACTATTAATTATGATTTTAACCTTATTTTACATGATTTCCAAAGCATCAGTAAATACAGGTGAGCGACACAGGCTGTTGAGAACCTCTAGTTTTATAAGCAATACCAGTAGTTTGATACTGGCAGTATTTGAATGTAATCATAGTTTTTTTTTAGATAAACCAGTATATTTCATCAAAGGTGTCAACTCTCCAGATAACAATATAAAATAGGAGCATGGTCAAATCTCCAACTAATAAATTTTCCCTTAGATTGATATTTCCGTCTAAAATTGAGGTTTGCTAAGATGACATCTGTGATTTTCATATACCTATATAATGTTTTACAAAATGTTTTTTTACTGTTGTCGATTTTATATTTGATTTTCTACTTTTTTTTTTTTTTATGTAAAGGTCACATATGTTTGACTGTAAAGTATAGATTTAATGTTGTCTTGTTTATGTACCACATTAATACAACAGGAATCATTTTAGATTTCAAAATTGACTTGGCTATATCTCTAAAATGTGCAATATTTGAAGCGATTGTCATCAGATGTCCAGAGTCAGTCAATACAAAGACCACCTCATGATGACAAAAGGTCATGTGATAGGATAGGTTGTAAATTTGATTATTAGTATTAATTTTTTGACATTTCACTGTTTTTGAAAGTTGTGTTGGCAGAGTACGCAGTTGAAACCTATTAATACAGAAATTTTCAGGACAAGGATAAGTTTTGCACTGAACAGTATGTTTTGGTAATTATCAATACAGATGGAAAGCAAACGTTTTTTTATTGCTGAAATCATATTAACGGTACCAATTTTGAAAAGAGCACTGTTTGTACTAAGAGTTGTTCAATTTTTCATAATGAGGATTAGTTTTTTTATCTGATCAGATTTAAATCAAGAGTAGTAGATTCTTTAGAGTTAGTGTGCAATGTAGATATTAGTTTATGTAGTTATGGATCACACATGATAATCTTCAAACAAGTAATTTTTTAAATTAAATATCAGTCATAATAATTGTATTAATCTTTCACTACAAAGTTAACAATGATTTTTTTATATCCTTGTCAGTTGGTTTCTGGTGAAAATCATCTTATTGGCAATCATACAACATCTCCTTATTTTAATATAACTATTCAAATATTATGAAATTATGCATATGATTATACAAATATTCATATTCATATTAGAAACTTACACCACAGTTAACTAGGCTATTATCAGCAAAACACTGTACACAGTATCAATTTTTGGCTATCCTTACTGGATATCACAGACTTTCCTGTACATTTTGAGATCACAAAGGAAAAGTCATTATTGTATATATGACGTCAATTGGTCAAGTGTTACAAAATCTTGGGTCCAATGTTACAGAATTCCAAATAGTGCTATTAATGTCTGTTGATAACTGGTGCAATTAGAAATTCTCTTATGACCTGATAGATATTTTGTCAGCTTAATTTAAGGATGCAGCCTGCTTAAAAAGTCCATACTGCTGAATCTTTTATTTTCGGAAATGTTTGTATGCACAGATATGTGGTTCGTCTATTTCTATGTACATGTTATTTCTATTTGTTAAAATTTGCCAAAAACATCCTACATCGATGATGTGTATATTTGTGTGTTAATGAACTGTATATATTTGTTGTGAGCCTCTGTAGACTGTTTTTTTTTCTCCAAATAATATTGTAAGATTGTTTTGATGATAAGTTTTTTACATGCATTATGATCCACTTTTTTTATTCTACACAGTAGTAACTTATTACATGTATTTTTATCTGTTTTGTAACTTGTAGCTTATTTTATATTAATTTGTATAATGTATATATGATTAAAATTTTCCTATTTCTGTTATTATATGATTTGTTCTTTTTGTTTTAAAAAAATTAGTCAAAACAAGGACAATGGAGTTTTTTGTCAACACTGTAACCTTTCTGAAATATATTTTGACCTGCAAGACAACTGTCTTACCATGTAATGATTCAGTATCATTGGCTGGGTACCAATGTTTGTGGATTTGATGGGTATAGATTAACACCAAATTAAAAATGCTATTGAAGTACAACTTCTCTAGATAGGTTTGAATAAAGACATTAGCAAATCCACAAAAATACAATTTTTGATGTTTCCACAAAAAATGATACCCAAGCAAATGCACCCACACAATTACAGCCGATTTCATTGAGTGTGTAGGGAAAGGTAGAATCCTTGGTTAGCTTGCTTGTTAGCTGAACCGTGAAGTAATTATTAGGTTAGGTAAACTACCCTCCTTTAAGAGTAGACTAGTCCGACAGATAACCAATCTATATGTCTGTACGACTAGACTACTTTGAAAGGAGGGTAGTATACCTTACCTAATAATGACTTCACGGTTCAGCTAACAAGCAAGCTAACCAAGGATTCTACCTTGCCCTACACACTCAATGAAATAGGCTGTAAAGAAACCAGTGTGTCTCAATGTTCCTATTTTATATTAGACCCTAACAATAGATAAAGAAGAATTTGAATGTAATTGTGAATCTGGAATCATAGGTTATGTGGAACTGGAGGTGAAGTAGATGAATGTTTTTCTTCTAGGATGGAATGTAAAATAAAGTGTTGAAGACGGTCATACCTTTACAGGTGATTGATAAGCAAACATGGAGGTACAATAAATTGTTATCTCGTAAAACAAATATCTTTGTATTTACCAATACTATTTTAATCAAATAAACATGGATTGAATTTAAATTGTTTCATATTTGTCATGTCAGGGTCTATCACAGCTTTGCTCATTGTTGAAGACCTTACTGTGCCCTACCGATGTTAACATCCACGTCATTTGGTCTGTGGTGGATAGTGGTCTTGTTGGCAATTATATATTTATCACATCTACTTAATTTTATATGGAAGTAACACAAAAGTAATGCCATCACAAGGAAAATTCTTAAAAGATTTGGTTTTGATTGGTTTAGTGGTTTTAGGGATGAAACATGTATTGATTCAAATAGGATGGACCAGATGTATGGTAGCGGTGTTGTAGCCTGGCTCCAATGCTTATTCTTTACAATTTAAGGAAAATGAGAATAAAACATGCTAATTGTGCTGGCAATAGCTAAATTGACAAGACTGCACACAATGGCAATGCAACTATACACCAAATATCACTTATCTTTCCTTTCCACAATTAAATTCTAGAATCATCCTTATCCTAAAACTTACAATGTTAGTGTTTATAATGTGCCAGCCATAAACACATGACAAATATCACCTATGTATTACTTTGCTGTATGTTAATAAGTAAATTGTGATTAAAGTCCTAATACTCCCATAAATATGGTAGATTCAAAATGACAGTGATGTTGACAACAATACATGACTACTAAGTATGAGAGTTTTCTGTTATATGGTCTCAGACGTGTTGCAAGATCATTGTTGTACAACAGTAAAAAAAAGTTGAAGTCCCACGACTCTTATAACAAGAATGTGTCCATAGTACACTGATGCCCCACTCGCACTATCATTTTCTATGTTCAGTGGGCTGTGAAATTGTGGTCAAAACTCTAATTTTGCATTAAAATCAGAAAGATCATATCATAGGGAACATGTGTACTAAGTTTCAAGCTGATTTGACTTCAACTTCATCAAAAACTACCTTGACCAAAAACTTTAACCTGACACAGGACAGACAGACAAAGGACAAACGAATGAATGGACGCACAGACCAGAAAACATAATGCCCCTACTACTATCATAGGCGGGGCATAAAAAAAAGTTGAATCAAAATGATGGTACAATATGGACAACTTCACATGATGGCAAGCAATCCTACCAAGCATCAGAGCTTTCTGTCAAACAATCTCAAGGGGAGTTGTGTTCACAAGGTGGATGGAGCCAGGGATAGACAGAAAAGTCCATTACCAAAGGCATTATGCCTACTGAAGACAAGAGTGGACACGCTGAAATGTCTCGCCTTCTTTACTAACCATTGATATTATGTTGATAGTCCTAAATGAAAGCTTTACTACAACTATTACATAAACTTAACATGATCCAAGAAAATGAAGTCAAGGTCATATAAACCAAACAAGAAATACATGTACACCTTACAATCATTCAATACACTAAATATAGTTGACCTATTGCTTATAGTTTCTAAGAAACAGACTTAACCAAGAAAACTAAACATTGACCAATGAATCGTGAAAATGAGGTCAAAGTCAGATGAACCATGCCAGGCAGACATGAACAGCTTACAATCCTTCCATACAACAAATATAGCTGACCTATTGCTTATAGTTTAAGAAAAACAGACTGAAACACATAAACTTAACACTGAGCAATGAACTGTGAAAATGAGGTCAAGGTCAAATAAAACCTGCGAGACTGACATGTACATCATAGAATATTTCCATACACCAAATATAGTTGACTTATTGCATAATAGTATAAGAAAAAAGACCAAAACTCAAAAACTTAACTTTGACCACTGAACCATGAAAATGAGGTCAAAGTCAGATGACACCTGCCAGTTGGACATGTACACCTTACAATCATTCCATACACCAAATATAGTAGACCTATTGGATAAAGTATAAGAAAAACTGACCAAAACACAAAAACTTAACTATAACCACTGAACCATGAAAATGAGGTCAAGGTCAGATGACACCTGCCAGTTGGACATGTACACCTTACAATCATTCCATACACCAAATATAGTAGACCTATTGGATAAAGTATAAGAAAAACGGACCAAAACACAAAAACTTAACTATAACCACTGAACCATGAAAATGAGGTCAAGGTCAGATGACACCTGCCAGTTGGACATGTACACCTTACAATCATTCCATACACCAAATTTAATAGACCTATTGCATACAGTATAAGAAAAACAGACCAAAACACAAAAACTTAACTATAACCACTGAACCATGAAAATGAGGTCAAGGTCAGATGACACCTGCCAGTTGGACATGTACACCTTACAATCATTCCATACACCAAATATAATAGACCTATTGCATACAGTATAAGAAAAACAGACCAAAACACAAAAACTTAACTATAACCACTGAACCATGAAAATGAGGTCAAGGTCAGATGATACCTGCCAGTTGGACATGTACACCTTACAGTCCTTCCATACACCAAATATACTAGACCTATTGCTTATAGTATCTGAGATATGGACTTGACCACCAAAACTTAACCTTGTTCACTGATCCATGAAATGAGGTCGAGGTCAAGTGAAAACTGTCTGACAGGCATGAGGACCTTGCAAGGTACGCACATACTAAATATAGTTATCCTATTACTTATAATAAGAGAGAATTTAACATTACAAATAATCTGAACTTTTTTTTCAAGTAGTCACTGAACCATGAAAATGAGGTCAAGGAAATTGGACATGTGACTGACGGAAACTTCGTAACATGAGGCATCCATATACAAAGTATGAAGCATCCAGGTCTTCCACCTTCTAAAATATAAAGCTTTTAAGAAGTTAGCTAACGCCGCCGCCGCCGCCGGATCGCTATCCCTATGTCGAGCTTTCTGCGACAAAAGTCGCAGGCTCGACAAAAACTAGACAACATTGAGATGGGAGCAATCTCTGTGGGCCACGCTGACCATGAACTTTGACCTAGGAAGTTGTACAAACATTATGACCTACCCTCTGTTAATATACATGTCAAGTTTAAAGTATGAAATGATAACTGTTCTCTATATATAGAGCAGACACAATTTGTTACTGACGGACAAACAGACGGACAGACAGACTGATCACTTTAAGGCGACCAGCAACTAGGCGTGGCCCTAAATAAAGAGTTATATTTTATGTGACAAATGCCAATCAGTGTAAGGAATAACTCAGAATTAAAATTTCCACTTTTATTTTGTAGAAATTTGATCATACCTAGCTAGTCTTATAACAAAAACATTTGATAATCCATTTTGGTTCACATACTCACATCACACAATCTCTTCTGATTTGACAAGATAATAAAATTTAAAAAGTACACAAGTCAATTGTATTGTGTATCTCTATGTTTATTAAGGGGGAGGGGGGTATCAATTCAAACATATACATTTAAAACTATTCCATTAAAATGAATGTCAGAGGGTAGGACCATTATATGTCCGTTTCATGCTCGGCATAACAAGTCAAATATAAAATTTAATGGTCAAGTACGGACAATATGAAGGACAGGTTTATTTTTGGACATGGGTTGAGGATCATTTATGGGTGTATGTCCATTTGATGTATGCAAAATTACACAAAGAAAGTTTATTGGCAGTGGGAGGATTTGGGATGTCCCTTCCTACCCTTCCACTTCCAATATAGTGGAATAACAGTTAGTATAGATAGATTTTATCATAAGATACTGAAATACAAGTGAAAAAGAAGAATGTGAGTGAGATAAAACAAAGAGTCTCTAAGAGTCTGATTTTTTTTCATTTCAATGTTTTTTACATTTTTTTCTCCTTTTTCTCTAAATTCCAAAACATTTCATTGGTTCATTATGATTACGGCAAATTTCCTTGACCTAGTCTGATTTCCACGTGATCCTATTAAAAAGCCATAATGACTGTCACACAATTTGTATAAAAACTTTTGGTGAATTGCCAAAAAAGGAGAAAAAAACCCAAATTGGACTATTTACATATAATATCTTAAAAAACCTTCACTACTAGATCTAAAACCAAAAATAGATACCAGAAGAGATAAGCAGTGATACAGAATTTTAAAGAATCAGGAAAAGGATAGACCTAAGATTTGTCTCGCCACCAACATTTCGACACTGTTTCTCTCACATGTTCGACTTGAAGTGTAAAACCATCAGAATTTCTCTCACACTTGCAAAATCAATGAATTTATTTAAAATGGTCTGTTTCTCACTCATACTATATCACAACAAATAATAAATAACTTTATATGAAACAAAAGCAATAAAATATAAAATGTGATAACATCAAACAGACGATTGTTGTCTGTTATCCTGCACATAGTAAAGGGAGACAACCCAATAAGTTCTATATCAAAGCACTTAAATATATGTTTGTCATCGTTCACCGTTTTAGTATCTACCCACATTCTGGGTAATATTTTCAAGTGTACACCAAAATTGGTTAGAAATTACGAGATGTCATTTTCATTCTGGGATACGAACAATGAAATTACCCATAGTACTTTAGATTATGAAACGGTGAATTGCTGAAACAAACTGAACTTAATACAGAATTTTTTTAATCTTAATTAATAAAGGGAAAAAAAAGTATTATTTCCAAAAACTGTGCTTACATGCAGAAATTTTAAAAATAACTCCAAATATGCAAAACACTGATTCCACAAATCTAAGACATAATGTGTTTAATGTTAAATTATGCTTTTTCTCCGATTAGACAATATAATTATAGCTTAAGAAAAAGATATACAGCAATATAATCATAAGAAGGTAAAGTGTATTGGGGCAGATTTTTTTTCCCTTTCATTTTGACTTTTGAATAATGCCTGAATTTAGAATTAAAAATGCATTGAGCTTTAAAATATAATTCTTCTACATAATTTTTTATCTATGTACTAATAATTTCTCAAAATAACAAGTTCATTATCACATCTGCAGTTTCATTCCATAAAAGCATCTTTCTGACACAGAATAATGAGTTTTTCTGACTCAGACAATATAAAATCACATGACTATTATCACAAGCTTTCATCACTTTCAATGGCCTGTAATTGTAAGTCTTCATTCCCATCTACAACATCTTCCAGTCCTATGTCATCATCCAGACCTAAAATCAGAAACATATTTGTACATAAAAAGGATAACAGGAACTTCAAACTAGAGTCTCTAAAGAGCCTGTGTCGCTCACCTAGGTCAACATGGTCTATGTCCATCTTTAACAATAGCCACTCTCCAAAATTGTAGACTTGAATATCGTTCCCGTCTAAAATCTCATTTTTTAATGATCTTGTATTGCTGATCAAATGTTCTGTTTAAAGTTTCTTTCAATCTTCAACAGTTTTTACCCAAAACACAGAAAGGGTAAAAGAATCATTTAAGGGCAATAACTCCTATGAGAAGACAACTGACAATTTCATCTATGCTGACCAATTTGTCTTGCTAATCATTTTTGCTTTTTCCTCTGTATATTGACTTTATGCATCATTTTTATAACATTGGAAGATCATACCTAATCTGATGTATCAAAAATAAATACATTTATAAAAATCCTTGTATCCATCATGTCCATGTGCATATAAACAACCTGAGTTTACATATATACAATTTCATGTTATTCAAAATTGCCAAATTAGAAAGAGTTTGAACAACCCGCTAACATGTTTTAACCCCGCCACATTCTGTATGTATGTGCCTGTCCCAAGTCAGGAGCCTGTAATTCAGTGGTTGTCGTTTGTTTATGTGTTACATATTTGTTTTTCTTTCATTTTTTGTACATAAATTAGGTCGTTAGTTTTCTCGTTTGAATTGTTTAACATTTGTCATTTCGGGGCCTTTTATAGCTGACTGTGCAGTATGGGCTTTGCTCATTGTTGAAGGCTGTATGGTGACCTATAGTTGTTAATTTCTGTGTCATTTGGTCTCTTGTGGAGAGTTGTCTCATTGGCAATCATACCACCTCTTCTTTTTTATATATAGTAGATACAGTTGGTTTCACCTAAACACATTTACAGCAAAGTAATTTGACGGTATTTCTGAAATTTAGTGTGTAGCATTGTACATATTTTCCATTCGAACAGTTCAAATGTGTTTTGTAAAAAACACTAATTTAAATAATTTCATATATTTTTTTTTATTGTTTTTCATCCAACATACATAACTTTCAACAGTACAGACACTGAAATAGCAAGTTCATTTAATATTTAAATATTTACCTGTGTCATTTAACCTTGCTAAAGATTCATCATCCTCGGTAACATAACGTTTATCAATAGCTTCTTTAATCTGGTTGTTAATTCCTTTTGGATCCAAGTCCATTGCCCATGAGAAATTCATCAAAGCAAAATGTGTATTACCCAATTTTTTATGCACCTGGAAAAAGAATAGTCAAGTAAATATAAATATCCCCTGGTTATGAATCCACAAAATACCAAATCCCCTTTTAGAATTCAAATTTTTTTTTAAATTTGCGATCTTGTCCTGAACATAACATCTGAGGAGTAGAGAGTTATCTCCAATATTCAAAGATTTTGTTGCTTCAGTGATTAAAAAAATTCTATGATTAAACTGATAAGGGCTATTTCATAAAAATGGAAGTGATAGGGTTGCAGGGAAATTCTATAATCTCACTACAACAAATACACTTTTCTTAAATAATTTTGCAAACATCCAATGGACATAAACCACCATAAATGACCAATTTCCAAAAAATTAAAACTTCCCTTCCTACCCTCCCACATCCATTTAACACTAAATCCATTGGATGTTGAATGTGTACTGATTGATATTTTAGTCTTTAATACACATATGATATGAATTTTTATTATTAGTTATTGGCTTTGAACTAGCTTACAGTAACTGCAAGTATTATCAGATCTGTACTTTGTGTCTTTTGTGCTTTTGTTAGGGTTTTTGTGTGCTTTGTATCGATCTGATGAGTTAAGCCCTTTTTAACTGATTTTTAGCTTGTTATTATGTCATACGGCTACACCACAGGGGAGTGTTTAGCCCCAGCTAACATGTTTAACCCGCCACATTCTGTATGTGCCTGTCCCAAGTCAGGTGTGTGTAGTTCAGTGGTTGTCCTTTGTTGCTGTTAATCATATTTGTTTTTTCTTTTGTTTTGTACTTAAATCAGCCATTAGGTTTCTCTTTTACATTGTTTTACATTTGTAATTTCCAGGCCTTTTATAGCTTACTATGGGTATGTGTATTGCTCATTGTTGAAGGCTGTACGGTGACCTATAGTCGTTGATATCTGGTGGAGAGTTCTCTCATTGGCAATCATACCACATCTTCTTGTTTCTATACTTATTCTAAGAGGCCAATATGAAAAGAAAAAAATGCCCAAATTCCCATGGAAGCAATAAAGTCTGTAATTTCCTTACCTTTCCAATTAAAAAGTAGACTAGAGATTCTTTAGGAACTATTTGTTTTAATTCTTCCAATTCTTTAAGAGCTTCCTGTAAAAAAAAGACAAAAAAAATAAATAGTTTCAAGTACAGTCATGACAAATGTATATCTAATTTTGGAATAATAGTAATCAAATGTATGTTTAGAATACATGTAGTACTTCTTGCAGTAGAATAGGTAAGCATTCATAAATTCACACATAAGAATGTCTTAAATTTCCTTATCAAAGCAATGGGGATATTGGTCTCAACATTACATGCTCACTTGAATGCAATTCAATCCAGACTTTTTCAGACCGGTATTTTTCTTGTTTGAATTGTTTCAAATTTTTCATGTCCATGCCTTTTATAGCAGACTATACAGTATGGGTTTTTCTCATTGTTGAAGGCTGTAGGGTGACCTTAAATTGCTTTTATTTTCTCATTTGCAATCATACCACATCTCCTTATTTTTAAATTTTACCAAAAAACACCATATGTCTCCATAGGACAACATGCCCTGTTAACAATATCCCAATTCCATGTTCATTGAAATGTGAAATCTGGGTCAAAATCTCAATTTGGTATATATAAATTTAAAATGTTCACTTCATAATGTGCATTAATTTTCAAATTGGTGGGACCACAAACTTCATAAACCAAAACTTTAACCCTATAGGTCACCAAGTTCACTTTTGGCAAATCATGGCCTGAATTTCAACTTTATAAAAAAATATCAAAATGGGAACAATTTTATTTTAAATGGATCCATTTCAGGTAAAACAAGTCTCTTCAAACGAATACTTTTAAAAGCTGTTAAGACAGTAAGTACATTTTGTGAGATGTTGTCAAAATACAATGATTTTGTTCATTTTTATAAAAGCATCGGGGAATAGGTTGGCTGCAACCTATGATCCAAAATGTTCTGTAACCAAAAGGTCCCTAGATTTATATCGATTCCCAAGACACAACAATTTTCAGAGTTGCGGCCAAAGTAAACTATGATAAAACTGTTATAAATTCTGGTGAAATTGGATTAAAACTGACGTTACAACACAAATAATGCATATTTACGGGGTCATTAATAATTCATAATGTGATGTGCCAAAAAGAATTCATTTAGCATTAAGAGTTATACCACAACTTATGCTATGTAAGTTTTGTACAAGTTTGGCCAATGAATTTTTTTCATATCTTAGGGCTTATTCTATAAACCCTATGTGAACCTTCTCCTTCGTCTTTGTGTGGATTCAGTACAAAAAAAAAGGTTCATTTTTTTTTTTTTTTTTTTCATATGCATAAAGTTATATGACAAATTAATACGCCATAGCCTTTCTTTTCAAACGCACCAGCAATCAGCATTTATATACCTTGGTTTAACTTGGCTAAGTAGATTCAGAGGAGAAGATTTTTTATCACTAGCAAATAATAAAGATGCCCTGTGAAATTTGCGTAAGAGGTCAAATCAGTCTTAGAGTAAATACTTACATTATGTTTATCACTAGCAAACAATATAGATGCCCTGTGAAATTTACATAGTGGGTTTCTAGGATCTGTTGCTATGGCTTTATTTAAGGTTGATAAAGCACTCTCTGACTTCTGCTGGGCATGCTGTACCTGAGAAGTTACAATAAATCATTAAAAGACACAACCCGGGTATATTGGTGAAATATATATAAACTGTTGATTCATTATGTTTATTGGATATCAATTTACTTTGAAATCATAGGTATAGTTTAGGCCAAAAAAAAATATATGTCTGTTTACGGTTATCCAACCGACCCTACTTTTGAGCCCCGACCCTTAGTCCAGTCTTCGCGCTGAACAACAGGCCCACCAGCCCAGGCTTGTAAAACTTCTGTCGGGCCTGTAAAAATCATCTCCACAGGCCAATATAATTTAACTAAAATTTTCTTAAAATTCATCTTCGGGCCTGTAGATTCAAATGTCTATTGTGAAGACTGTAAGTCATTTTATTTCCGTCGTAAAGTGAAAATAAACAGCTGCGCCATGAGTGCATGATACGCCCGTCGTCTTGTGTGTGAATTTTTATGCAATAATCATAAATAGTTTCTGACATACGGCGCGACATGCGAAAACCCCCCTTTTCTTTACAAAAAACTCAATATCTCTAAAATAAAATTTTGAATCAAAACCAAAAAGTATACAGATCTTTTGATTAATATAACTAAGTGTGTAAAATTTAAAGCAAGAATCATAAATCGTTTTTGAGATACGGAGATACATGTGAAAAACCCCTCCCCTCTTTTTTTACAAATTACTCAATAATTCAAAAATAAAATTTTTAATCATCACCAAACAGTATACAGATCTTATGATTAATATAACTAAGAAGTGTGTAAAGTTTTAAGCAATAATCATAAATTGTTTTTGAGATACGGCGCGACATGTGAAAAAAAACACACACCTGTTTTAGTTACTAAATCCCGTAACTCAAAAAGTTTTAATCTTATTTTCACCAAAAAGTATACAGATCGTTTGACCATTATAAGAAACAACTATGTTAAGTTTCATGAAATTTGGATAAGTCGTTCTCAAGTTACGGTGCAACATGTTTACGCCGGATAGACAGACGGACAGACGACATTTGTATACCATAATATGTCCCATCAAAATTTTGACGGGCGTATAATAAACTGAACTCATGTCAAAAGCGAAGTTAGTGTTGCAAATAATATAAATCAATTGCCTGATACATCCCAATGTTTACAATAGTGAATATGACAGCTGTTTTAAGGAAATTCGCAACTCGTGTGATGAAATAAACACTTTGCCGCCATTTTTTTCCAACCAATTACCAAGGGAAATAATTCAATCATTAAAAATACGGGTAAACTCGGACCATGATCAACTCGGACCACGACAAGAAGAAACGGCATGACTCAATATCATAAAAAATAAAATAAAATGGAAATACCGACCTCCCTACCCTATTTTTTTAAAGTATGTAACCTTAAACAGACATATATTTTTTTTGGGGGCCTTAACAACAAATTTAAATGTTCAACAAAGTACACATTTTCAAAAGGTGAACAAAAACAATTCTTTTCTCAAACCATGAAATTGATACCAATCAACAAAAAAAATATTATCAAACAGTCAATAGCAGTTTACCTGACAAAATTGGGTTATTTTTAATATTCAGTGAAAACAGTGTTTCAGGCATTTATGCAAATCCATCAGAAAAACATAGGCTACACTTTTTTGAACGCTAGATTTGTTTGTGATTAATAAAAGATGTATAAATGTAAAATACATGTCATCACAAGATTATTCTAGTCAAAGAATGCAACTAAAATTTTACAAATTAATATTACTTATCAAATATAGCTCAAAATTTGCTCAATTGATGTTTTCTGAGTCAGAGTATAAATTTATGACATCAAAATGACAGCATAAGATAATAACATATTGAAATAATTTAAATTTATATCAATCCTAAATATGTATTTTAATGTTCAAATATTGCTGTAATTCAGAGAAAGTAATGTTTTGTAGATACAATCAGTGTCTATATTAATTTTCATCGAGTCCCTCCATTAATGATGATATTTCTAGTCTAGTAATTCTGTTATAAAACTTTATTGTTTGCAGTACTAAATTTTCACCTTTGACCCCTTTGCACATACTTCAATAACAAGATTATTCCTTTACATTAGGTATATTCGAATGCTTGTGTACATATTTATACAGAATAGCCCAAATTAATACTGGATACCCTACGATCTCTGAAAAACACATTTGACATCCCTTTCTTTAACTACATGCATTACAGCCTCTGTACACACATGTAAATACTGTAAATCTAGAAATTTTTGGATGAATTTATTTTTGCAAATTTTGAACAATGAACAAATATGTGAGATTAATTATTGAGATTTTCGGATATGCAGCATACAAATAATGCTATCAATATTTAAAATCTATCTAGTTGCAAATTTGGCAATCAAGAAAACATCACAAAAATTTCTGAGTTTACAGAAGAATAGGACGGACTTAAAGAACAACTTACCACTCCTATGTGACAAAGAAGTGCTGCACTGTGAGGATTTATATGTAAAGCTTTTCTAAAATGTACTTCAGCAAAATCAAACTTTTCCTGCTTGTAATAAATCATTCCAACACCATACCTGAAATATACGAGCATTTTTATTTTTTATTTTATCTTTTATTTATATCTTATTTTTTATTTTCTATTTTTTTTTATTTATTTACTATTTATTTTCTATACAAAACATACATCAGACTGGAAATAGGGATATAATGTGTGAATGCCCTGAAAAGACGATTCTTAAACAATACCAAAAATAAATGAAGACTGTGTCCATAGGACACAGATGATGCCCCCGCTTGCATATAACGTAATAAAGGGACAACTCAAGAACTGTAAAAGTGACGCTACCCAAAGTTGTACTTGATCTGAGTTTTGTGGTATTAAGCATTGTGTATATGTTTCATAACATTCAGTTGAGGCAAACTTAAGTTAGAGAACGGAAACAAAATTTCAGCATTTTTTCCATTTGTAAAGGGGCATAACTCTAGACCAGTAAAAGTGACACCACCAAAATTCAAACTTGATCTGTGTTCTGTTGTACTAAGCATTGTGTATATGTTTCATAACATTTGGTTGAGGCAAACTAAAGTTAGAATACGGAAATGAAAAATTCAGCAATTATTCCATTTGTAAAGGGGCAGAACTCTAGAACAGTATAAGTGATGCCATCAAAAATCAAACTGGATCTGTGTTTTGTGGTAATGAGCATGGTGTATAAGTTTCATAACATTTGGTTGAGGCAAACTAAAGTTAGAGAACAGAAACCAACTTTTGGTTGTACGGACGGACGGACGTACAGACGGCCAAGGGTAAAACTTAATGCCCCTCCGCTACGGCGGGGTCATAAAAACCTCTTTAGACAGTTTAGTATTAATTACTTAAATGTTGAAAATAAACCTCAGATGAGACAAAAAACTTACAGATGTATACCAACAGATATTTGAATATCCCAGTTATTTAGTGTGTCCTATAAACACATTAAAATTCTCATCCAAGCAACAATTAAAATGAAAGAATTTTAAAGAGAAAGCTCATGTATACCAACATGAAGATTTATGTGTAAATCCACTTGCCCAAAATATAATTGACAATCAAACATCCAAGGTATTATTAGAATAAATGTTTTCCCCTCAAAATCTGAAGGCTATAAGAAAAGAAATACAGGTAATATTTAGGGAACACAAAAATTGTGACATTTATGCAAATCCAAACCCTAGCATCTTTCCAATTTGATTTTTCTGATTGATAACAGTACATCTGATGAAAGATTTTTGACATTTTTTAAACACTTAAGTGTCTTCTTCAGTAGATTCATAAACACTTAAGTGTCTTCTTCAGTAGATTCATAAACACTTAAGTGTCTTCTTCAGTAGATTCAGTTAAGTTTGTGTATAAGATTTGAACTGATTTGATCTGACATTAAAGACGTCTAAATTCAAGCTTAGATATGGAAAATCTATCAAATATGCCACAAAACGTCACTTTTCAGATGGGTTTGTCTAAAATGGAAGTGGTCGCATTCATGTTCAGTCTCAACTTTTATCTATGTTATGTATTATCATCAAATACAACATATATTCAAATATTAAGACGGAACACAAGTGAGGCCACTTCCATTTTAAACAAAAACTGTCTAAAAGTAAGCAAAACTGTTAAAATTGTGAAGATTTCAGCAATTTTACATGAACTAACTATGCTGGTACCTGATGCATGTGCAGTGTAAAGTCAAAAACAGCCCATATTTATGTTAAGTTTACATTTTTAACAAATTTTTGAAATGCTATATTTTGGGGCCGAAAAGGGGTAAAAAAACAGCCCATATTTATGCAAAGTTTACATTTTTAACAAATTTTTGAAATGCTATATTTTGGGGCCGATAAGGGGTCTTACTGGGCCTACTCCTTTAAAGAAGTTCTGACAAGAAATTAAGGTACTATCAATCATAACAAAAATAATAATTTCGACAACTCCCCTTATTTCAACTATGTGACCCCATTTCGATTTTTTCTGATAATCAAATCAAAATCAAGTTAATCAGAGTAAACCATTATAAAAAGTTGAAGGGGTCAATCAAGAAATGAATACACAAACAAGTCACAAAAACATCAATACTCTTTATTTATGGTCTGGCTATCACTTACCATGCATAAAAATGACGTGGGTCCACCCGTATAGCATTTCTAAAACATGACATAGCTTTATCTAATTCCTCAGTGAACACATACTTACCAGGCATTAAAATGATGTGGGTCCACCCGTATAGCATTTCTAAAACATGACATAGCTTTATCTAATTCCTCAGTGAACACATACTTACCAGGCATTAAAATGACGTGGGTCCACCCGTATAGCATTTCTAAAACATGACATAGCTTAATCTAATTCCTCAGTGAACACATACTTACCAGGCATTAAAATGATGTGGGTCCACCCGTATAGCATTTCTAAAACATGACATAGCTTTATGTAATTCCTCAGTGAACACATACTTACCAGGCATTAAAATGACGTGGGTCCACCCGTATAGCATTTCTAAAACATGACATAGCTTTATGTAATTCCTCAGTGAACACATACTTACCAGGCATTAAAATGACGTGGGTCCATCCGTATAGCATTTATAAAACATGACATAGCTTTATCTAATTCCTCAGTGAACACAAACTTACCAGGCATTAAAATGACGTGGGTCCACCCGTATAGCATTTCTAAAACATGACATAGCTTTATCTAATTCCTCAGTGAACACATATTCATGCCCAAGTAATGTAAAAGCATATGCAAAATTAGGATCAACCTGAAAAAAACACAAAGTATATTTTATTTATATACTAATAAACTTGTAATTGTGTGATTGTTGTTTGATGTTGTATATCATATTTGTTTTTCAATCTGCCATTGTTTTCTGGTTTGAATTGATTTATTTTTGTAATTTCAGGGCCTTTATATATGTGGTATTGGTTTTGGTCATTGTTTAAGGCCGTATGGTGACCTATAGTTGCTAACTTCTACATCTTTTAGTCTCTGGTGGAGAAATGTTGTCATTGGCAATCATACCACGTCTCCTTTTTTATATTTGAATAGGACAAACAATAATCATTAGAAACTGACTGACTAACATATCGTAATTTACTTATTATTTCAATAGTTAGTTCATTAAAGTAGATTTCTTCAAGCATTTTCTATTTAAAATTGAAACAGTGATTAGAATACACCTTATTGCTATTTGTCCGCCTCTACTGGACATCACAAAGGTTACCGTAAAATGTTGACGTCATAATAGAAAATATCTATTGCCACATTGGAAAAGTGATTGTTGTATGATGTCAATAGTTCAAGAGGCGCAGATTTCCAAATAGCGATAAGGTCTATTCTATAGAGATGTTTAAAACAAAACATACAGTGATTAGTACTTAATCCAACCAATGTAAATGGTAATAAAACAAATAATGTATACTAATAAAAATAATGTGAGAAAATATACCTGAATAGCTCTTTGGAAGAATTTAATGGCAGTATCATGTTCTTTTTGTAAACTAAAACAATTCCCTGTAGCACACCATGCCTGTGGATACATTTAAACACACATAAATGTAGAAATAAGAAAAAGATTCAACATAAGGTGCAAACAAATATGCTATTCAGTGAAAGCAGCTATTCCTTCATTATTCCAATACAGTTTTTCTCAATGTTGAAGGACGTACAGTTGCCTATAACATCCTCATCCTCATCATTTGAACTTTGGTGGATAGTTGTCTCATTGGCAATCATACCACATCTCCTTATTTCTATGTTGATAATTCAGAAATCATTGTTATTATTGCAATTTTTGGACAATTAACTTAAATGTAAGTTTTAATATTGTGATTTCAGGATATGCTGCAAACTAATAATGCTATCAAAATTCATAATGCAAGTTTTTATTTTTGCAGCACCTACATTTGTATTCCATTACAATTTTCATAATAATAAAAACATTCCATAAATTTCAAAATTTACAGCAGATGACACATACTTTTGATTTTCTGATTCAAAGAGCTTTGTTTCATAGTAATGTCAAAAAATAATATGATCAGACAAATTTATAATAGACTAAAATTTTGGTCTCTGGTGGAGAGTTGTTTCATTGACAATCATACCACATCTTCTTATTTTTATAAAAGTTCTCAACATGAACATATGTTGAATCTGCCAATGCAGACAACACTTGAAACTCCATCCCTAAGTCTATCATCTCAGGTGAGACAAAAAGATGGAATGAAACAGGTTTTGTATCTATCATCAGGTTGCTAAGAGAACACATGTGTTAAAAAAACAAAGTATGTTTATTTTTGTCAGTATTTTTGACTGTTTTTCTTTAATATCAGATTCATGTTATGCAGTTGTAATCATCTATTTTACAGGATCTTCTTTAATCAAAACTGCAAATATTTGATAAAAGTAAAGAAAATTTTACTATTTCTTTTTTTTTCACAGGTGTTTGTCGTAGCTTAAATAATAATGACTCACCTCAGGAGAATTTTTTTCCATATCTGTTAATTCTTGAGCAAGAGCAGATAACTCTACTTCCCGTTGTAAATGCCACAAAGTTGTACTAAATATTTCCATGCCTTCTAAATGGTAAGGTTCTAAACTTCTTGCTTCACCAAATAATCTTTCAGCCTAAACAAATAGAAATATTCTTAGGAAATTAAACTTGTTTCTGATATACTTGATACTAACTTAAATGATAGATATAAAAGTTACAATATATAATCTAATAATCAAAGTTTCTTAAATTCTGAAACCTACTGCATCAAAAGGTTAACTGAATATTACCTCAGCTTCTTCATATTAAAAGAAGCAGTAAAACTAGCTGGTCTTATTCACCATGCGAGCATCTATAATGCATATATATTCTGGGATTCTAAAATGGTTACTTTACAATATATATCTAGTAATCTTAAAATGAATGAAATAGAACAAATTTCACCAACTATAATTTTCAAATTACAGATTCTCTGGATTCATTTATTTTTTGGAATACCAATTTTCGTGGATTCAAGAAAACTTGTATTTTTGTGGATTTTTAATATCATGGATTTGGCTGTCTATATACAGGCCTTTACAAAAATGTGTACTTTGTTGAACATTTAAATTCCTGGTTTACGTAGACCTACAAAATCCACAAAAATTGGTATCCCATGAATAACAATGAATCCACAGTAAATGTAAAGGATTTTGAAAAGAATCTCCTTTTGTGTATATGCTACCTAATATAATTTAATTATGTTTAACAAATCTATCCCTGTTGGTGTACTTACATTTTGATATTCAGATAATTCAAAGTATGCCCTGCCTAGCTGACAAAGGACATATGCTGTGTTATACTGGTGTATGGGAAGATCTTGATACATTTCTATAGCCTTTTTACAATCGTACTGTGACAGGGCCTGGTAAGCTTTACCAATACATTGTAGAAGATGTAAAATACCAGCTACAAATAAATATACAGATTAGTTTAATAACTTTGTTTTAGGCCCAAAACAAGAATGTGTCCATAGTACATGGATGCCCCACTCGCACTATCATTTTCTATGTTCAGTGGACTGTGAAATTGGGGTCAAAACTCTTAATTTGGCATTAAAATTAGAAAGATCATATCATAGGGAACATGTGTACTAAGTTTCAAGTTGATTGGACTTCAACTTCATCAATAAACTGCTTCGCTGAGCGCAGCTGGATACGCCCGCAGAGGTCCAACTCTGAACAGCTGGGGCAAAAATGGACACAATATTCAAGCTTGATACAGGTCTGAATTTGGTTTGTAATTAAATATTTGACATATTATAGGTTTCTGAATAAATGTAGTCAAAGAACTTGAAATTGGTTATATGAATTGAATTTATATTCAATTAAAGATTTCTTGCTGTTGTGCAATACACTATGCTGTTGAGCAATACTTAGTAAATCTGTTGTCAGACTATAAACAAATAAAATTTATAAAATTCTAAAGGGAGCTAACATCAATAGATATAATCAATTCACCAAAGTTTCATAAGAATTGCTGAAAGCATTTTTGAGTTATTGTCCGAAAACTGGAAAATCCCCCTTTTTTTTTATGAATAAAACCCTGTAACTTGGAAACGTAAAATCTAAAATTTATAAAAATCAAAAGGGAGCTCATGTCAATAGATATAAACAATTAACCAAAATTTCTTGCAAGTTGGTGAAAGCATTCTGGAGTTATTGTCTGAAAACTGGAAAATCTCCCCTTTTTTAATGAATAAAACCCCATAACTCGGAAATGTAAAATCTAAAATTTATAAAATTCTAAAGGGAGCTTACATCAATAGATATCAACAATTCATCAAAGTTTCATGAGAACTGCTGAAAGCATTTTTGAGTTATTGTCCGAAAAACTGAAAATTCCCCCTTTTTTTTATGAATAAAACCCCGTAACTTGGAAACGTAAAATCTAAAATTTATAAAAATCAAAAGGGAGCTCATGTCAATAGATATAAACAATTAACCAAAATTTCTTGCAAGTTGGTGAAAGCATTCTTGAGTTATTGTCCGAAAACTGGAAAATCCCCCTTTTTTTAATGAATAAAACCCCATAACTCGGAAACGTAAAATCTAAAATTTATAAAAAACGAAAGGGAGCTCACGTCAATAGATATAAACAATTCACCAAAGTTTTATGCAAATTGGTTTAAGCGTTTTTGAGTTAATGTCCGACATGTTGACGACGGACGGACAGACGGACAGACGGACGGACGGACAGACGGACAGACGGACGGAGGGACAGACGGACAACGGTATACCATAATACGTCCCGTAAACGGGCGTATAAAAACTACATAAATTCTATATGTGCCTGTCCCAAATCTGGAGCCTGTTTCAGTGGTTATCATGCATTGGTTCATGCATACATATATGTCTGTCATCTTGTTTTTCGGAAATTGTATTGTTATAACTTAGTCTGTTAATTTTTCTCATGTTAATTATTTCACATTTTTCATATCAGGGCCTTTTAAAACCGACTATCAAGTATGGGTTTTTCTCATTGTTGAAGGCCAAACCGTTACATATAATTGCTTATATCCATATAATTTGAACACTGATGGATCTTTATCTTATTGGCAATACTACTACATGTACATCTTATTTCTACATATAATTTAACAAATCTATAATGTACTCACTGAGAGACTGTTGTTGCATTTGTAAGATCTGAGTTTGAGTTGGCACCTGGGGAACAGGTTTAGAATCTAGGGTAGGTTCTGACTTATTTATTTTGTTGAGTTCTTGTTGAGATTTACTGCTTCTGGTTTTTGACTTTCTGCCTAAAGCCTTTGGACTCTGTAGACGTGTTTTGGTTCCATGACTTTTGTTATTTTCCTAAATAGAGAAAATTCAAAAAAAAAAAAAAAAATCATTTAAGACAATTTTCTCGTTCAGTAAGTAATGCTAAAAAGAGCAGCATAAATCTGTGGAAAATGTTAGAAAATTTAAATCACTTTGTCTATATAACCCTGTCGCATTTTTTGCAATAATAAAAACATTGCAATAATTTCTGAATTTACAGTACCAAATACTTTAAATCTACACATGATTTTTAATTGTGAAAGATAAATTTATTTTTTAAAATTCCATGTGTGGCTCATCATTTTTTTCAATAGCAGGGTTAATATATGTTATTTGAATAACAATATATAATAAAATTTTATGAAAACAGCTACAATGTAGATATTTCATTAGAATAAAACAGAAAATAACTAGAACGTAAACAGTAAGTTTGTGCCCATGTGTCAAACATATTTTGTGCTAACTAGAACACAGCTTTGTCTACAAAACGTAATAAGGACGTCATATTATAATATAAAAACAATAAACATGCATTTAAACAAAAACAGCAATCCACAACATGCATTGTACATTACTTTAATATCACCAACTTCTAGAAGTTGAACAAAAAGACACATAGCATGCATAGTCCAAGGTGTTTTTCATGAAAGTCAAAGTTGTTGATAAAATTAAATTGATGATTTAAATAATTCTATACACTTTTTGTCTAAGTATGACACCACTGGACGTTAAGCAACCAACAATCAATCAATCAATCTAAGTATGACAGGAGTATACAATAGTTTTAATATTTTTTCTTTTCATGAACAAAGTGTTAATCACTCAAAGCTATACAGTAGGTTAAACAATACATACCTTCACAGAACTTGAATTATTACTACCAAACAGACGTGAACTTCTCCTTACTGGAGGTGGGTTGTTCTGAATGCTAAAAAAAGAAAAGAAGGTCATTTTTATACAAGCTTTTTTTATACAATCTCTTACCTTCAGTATCATTTTTTTTTCATGAAATAAGGCATCCATCATATACATAATTTTTAATCTGAAGTACACTAAGTTTTTTCTACATAGGTTGACCTAAAGAAAGTAAAATTGAGAATGGAAATGGGGAATGTGTCAGACAACAACCCGACCAAAGAGCAAAAAACAGCTGAAGGCCACCAATGGGTCTTCAATACAGTGAGAAAATCCCGCACCTGGAGGCGTGCTTTAGCCGGCCCCTAAACAAAAATATGTACTAGTTCATTAATAATGGACGTCATACTAAACTCCAAAATATATAAAAGAAACTAAAATTAAAAATCATACAAGACTAACAAAGGCCAGAGGCTCCTGACTTGGTGCCTCCCATGTGTTTAATTCTGTAACAGCCATGAGTTTTTATTGATAATAGCGGTTCTAGAAATATATATTTGAAGATATTTTAGTCAACCAAACTGGGAATGAAACCTATAATAGCTCCATCAGAAACAACCAGAACCTTTCAACCTTTTGTGACAATTGTGGAATATATAAGAACTGGGGTGTTTAGCAATAGAAAGATCCACTGAAACAATTAAAATTCCAGTATTTTTCTTTATGGTATGGTTTTAGAATAAAGGAAGCCATTTATGGTAGGAACGATTTCTAAACAGGGTTTCACAAACGAAAAATACAGCAATCATTTTTACAATGTGTTTCAGAATACTAATAAAAGTAGTTCAAAATCAAATAAATTCAGCTTTTCATTTTCCCCCTCCCTGTGTCTTTGTGATGAACAGGACCCTTTAACATGTTTAAGCAAATAATTTAATCATCCTAATGGTATACATCAGAAAATATTTCTTCACAATACATATTCCCATAACAATGGATTCTTTCCTTATACATAACTTTTGTGTATTTTTCCTTAAATCTTTTTCTGTGATAATTTTCATATCATACTACTCACATGAGATTAAAAATTATTGTCAGAAACTTAATGCGCACGTGATGTTGTCAATGTAAACATCAACGAAGTTATGAATAAATTAGCAAGAAACAGATTATCAATCGTCTTTTAAACTCGAGGATGTTTCTCGGCCACAACTCGTATCAGGTTTGTCGCCTGTCGATGAGATTGTAGCTGAGAAACACCCTCTTGTTTGAAAAACCATAGATAATCTATAAATGTGTACTAAAAATATGTCCAACCAATTGTTAAACGGCTAACTAGCATCATGGATTTTGCCAAAACAATATTTATTGAATGTTTTAATTTTTGTATATTCAATTCCTAAACACTGAAATAAGATACACATTTATATAATAATATTCCACCAGTATCTATTTGAAATTGATGTTAAATTCTTACCCTGGTTGATTTTCTCTGGTATTTGTATTATTTCCCGAAAAATTTAATACCGGAGGAGGTACTGGGTGATTCTGGGATCCTCTCACTGAAACCTAAAAATAGAAATATCGTCCTACAATAAAATTATATGCTTCACATGAAAGCAGCTCATATGAATTCAACTAAACTTAACATCTGTAGAATATTTAATAAATGGAGAATGTGTCCATAGGCCACAGATGATGCCCCGCTTGCATATAACGTTATAAAGGGGAATAACCCAAGAATGGTAAAAGTGACGAAACCCAAATTCGAACTTGATCTGTGTTTTTTAGTAATAAGCATTGAGTATAAGTTTCATAACATTTGGTTGAGGCAGACTAAAGTTAGAGAACAGAAACCAATTTCGGGATGTACAGACGGACAAGGGTAACACTTAATGCCCCCTCTAGTGACGGTGGGGGCATAACAAAAGAGTTAACTTTTTATTATGACAATGCATCATGTTATAAATTCAACTGATTAATATTCAGTTTCTTTGCCTTTTAGTTTGGGCTGATATCTTACTCAAGTTTCTTTGGCTAAGTACTTTTAGCTCCCACTGAACCTAAGGTAGCAATACACAGGAGTTTGGTTTCGCATTTTGGCCCCGGTGGATTTTTCAAATATGAAAGTTATTGTATAATAAAATTCATTTTTAGACAGCTGAGTACTAATTTAGCCTTCAAAGGTGGTTTATAAGAACATCAAGATTATTTTTTACATGTTTTATGGGCTATTTTCTGTTTGACTCTCCGTATTTTCATAGCTAGACCGGTCATCGGTCCAGAAGTTAATGTAATGTTTACAAACACTTTTTTTTCTACACGAAGTTTTTGACGCAATTTTACAAAAAAATGAGATGAAAGACATATGATTTTCATTGGATTTATTGAAAGATATATGTAAACAGTTTCAGAAAAGGTATTACTTGAAGTGATTGAAATTCTACTTTTGGTCAAATTTTTGGGAAATGTGTAACATCTTTTCCCCCCTTTTTGCTATATTTTAATAATAAAAAAATGCAGATTGTTGCCATGGATACACCAAAAAGAAATTATATTTTACCATTTTATATACTGGATATGAAATCAATGGAAGATTCTGATTACATACATATGCACATATATGACAAACAGTAACCTTAATATTGCAAGAAGGCAATGAAAAGGGGATGGTAAAATTTATGAGGGAAAATTTTAATATTTTTTCCTAACTGTTTATTGTTACCTAATTTCTTTATGCTCCCCGATCTCTCAAGTAAATTATTTCACTGCTCTACAGCATCTTCTATTCAAATGGTTTGTAAAAGCCAACTGTGTAACTCATTTTTTAATTTAGATGTGATCTCAACTTCCTATATCAAAAGTTTGTTCTACTATTTACAAGAAAGGTCTAGACAACTTTTTTGCTATTGTTAGGAAAATTCTGAGTAACGGTATTTGTAACTCTACCCCTTCCATGTTTCAATAAATAGTGTTCACCACGGTGCCACAGGAGCTCTGTATTTCTCCTGTCCTAGTACTTACAGTTCGTCTAGGTGCTCCCGGAGCTCTGAGTGTGTTCTCCGCCATCGGTGATGGTGTATCATATGGAATGTTCCCAGAACCAGCCGGACTGGGTGTGTCCAGAGGTAAAAATCCAAAACTGAAATGGAAGAATATATATATACAATATTTTGCATTTGATGTTCAGCCTTTTACCTATTCTTTTCTATAATTCCTAATTTGGGTTTTAAATCAAAAAGTTTGAGAAACATCTGAAGTCATTACAACCATTGGCATTGCATGTGTATTCTCAGAAAATCCGCAATGATGCTCCAAAAATATTCTCCTACTTTGTTTTCATGGTGTGTTACTGAGACAAATATAAAATATTGTCATGGATATAATATTTTTTTTGTTGCCATTATTCTATTTTGTGCTTTACAAGAATGTGTGCCCTATGTATTGTTTTACATAATAAATCATTCTAGAAAGGGTCAACAAAAAATTCATATCTTATTCTTTTACTGTTTTGTAGTAAAGTTTTTGGTTTTGTTCTAACTTCAGTGAAGAACATATTTACAAATAAATGAATATAACTGACCAATAGATTATTTTGAGATGGTTTATGTAAAGCAAACTACAGCAAATATTTGAAAACTATTCATCTAGTAAATTTCTTAGAAGGATTGTAGGGTTAATATGATCTATTTTGTCAAATCTGTTTCTGTTATTATACATCCTTGGCTTTCAAATGTTAGGCTGAGTGTTCCGGAGGAAGGTAAATCCAGAATAAAGAGCTGCGCCACGAGCCCATGATACGCCTGTTGCTTTTACAAAGAATAAAGTTCTATAAATCCTCAATGTCATATCAGAAATTTATAAATAATAAACTGCTTCGCTGAGCGCAGCTAGATACGCCCGCAGAGGTCCAACCCTGAACAGTTGGGGCAAAAATGGACACAATATTCAAGCTTGATTCAGGTCTGAATTTGGATTGTAATTAAATATTTGACATATTATAGGTTTCTGAATAAATGTAGTCAAAGAACTTGAAATTGGTTATATGAATTGAATTTATATTCAATTAAAGATTTCTTGCTGTTGTGCAATAGTCCCCAATACTAAGTAAATCTGTTGTCAGACTATAAACAAATAAAGTTCAATTAATTCTCAATGTCATATTAGAAATTTATGGAAATAAAAAGGGAGCTTACATCAATAGATATAAACAATTCACCAAAGTTTCATGAGAATTGGTGACAGCATTTTTGAGTTATTGTCCGAAAACTGGAAAATCACCCCTTTTTTTAATGAATAAAACCCAATAACTCAGAAATGTAAAATGTAAAATTTATAAAATTCTAAAGGGAGCTTACATCAATACATACAAACAATTCACCAAAGTTTCATACGAATTGCTGAAAGAATTTTGGAGTTTTTGTCAGAAAACTGGAAAATCCCCCCTTTTTTTATGAATAAAACCCTGTAACTCAGAAACGTAAAATTTAAAATTTATAAAAATGGAAAGGGAGCTCATGTCAATAGATATAAACAATTCACCACAATTTCTTGCAAGTTGGTGAAAGCATTCGTGACTTATTGTCCGAAAACTGGAAAATCCCCCTTTTTTTAAATGAATAAAACCCCATAACTCGGAAACGTAAAATCTAAATTTTATAAAAAACGAAAGGGAGCTCACGTCAATAGATATAAACAATTCACCAAAGTTTTATGCAAATTGGTAAAAGCATTTTTGAGTTAATGTCTGACATGTTGACGACGGACAGACGGACGGACGGACAGAGGTATACCATAATACGTCCCGTAAACGGGCGTATAAAAAACTAAAAGGAGGTTATTTTAATAGATTTAAATTAAACCAGTCATTAATTATATATAAAGTTTCATGAAAACTGCTCAAAGTATTTTTGAGTTATTGTCCGAAAATTGGAAAATCCCCCTTTTTGTCGAGCCTGCGACTTTTGTCGCAAAAGCGAGACATATCTATCCTACATTCCGTCGGCGGCGTCTGTGGTTAAAGTTTTTAAAATTTTTTATAACTTTCTTTAACTATCCTGGATTTCTACCAAACTTGGACAGAAGCTTGTTTATGATCAAAAAAGTATCTAGACGGAAATTTTGTAAAAATCGATTTCCTGTTTTTCCGTATATTACTTATAAATGGAATTAGTTTTTCTTCCTGTTAACATTACATACAGTCTGCAGTTAAAGTTTTTAAAACATTTATTAGATTCATAAACCATCCTGGATTTTTATCAAACCTGGATAGAAGCTTCTTACAATCAAAAGATAGTATCTAGAGGAAAATTTTTAAGAATTTTTCCCCATTTTTGTTGAGCCTGCGACTAACAGCAAAAGTAGGCGAGACAGTGGGTTCGGCGGAACCCTTACAAATTTTTCAATGAATAACACCCCATAACTCGGAAACAATAAACTATAAAATTTATAAAAATCGAAAAGGAGCTCTCATCAATAGATATAAACAATTCACCAAAGTTTCATGCAAATTGGTTAAAGCGTTTTGAGTTATTGTCCGACATGTTGACGACGGACGAACTGACAGACAGAAAACAGTATACCACAATACTTCCTGTAAACGGGCGTATAAAAATGCTTTCGACGCATGAAATTTATAAAGTGTGTTATCATTCTGAGTAAGATTTTACTGTGCTTCCTACACAGGAACATTAAATTTGTTGAACTGTGAGCTTCTACTCACTAATGAGACCCCCACTAGAGGTATTTAGTAAACAGGAAGTTGATAAGCCATGGATGTGAAATCATATCACAAAATAAAACATGAAATACATGTACATGATGTATACAGGTCTTCTACCTTCTGAAATATGAAGATTATTACATTTGTTAATGCTAAGCTGTCTTGTGGTCTGGTTGGGGAAACAACCGTTACAATTGAATTTACCTTGGAGTTAAAGGACTAAGAAACAATGGTTTGATTATATTTTTGGTAATGTCTGATCGTTCTGGAATATCTTTCAAGCGAGATCCACGTCTAACACGCGGACACTTTTCATTAATTTGTGTAGCATCAGGAAAATTTTCTGGTGTATGTGACATGGTACTATTCTGTATCAAAGGTTGTGGTGTCTGAAAATAAAAAAAAAAAATGCATACATTGTGCTTCTAAGCAAGCATATTTCCACTAGTAATTCATAGAAATTAAATGTTTATCCAAAATACTGAAATATATACAAAGTATTGGCAAACATTATTAAAGTAGGTGTTTGACAGATCTAAAAAGTGCTTACACTTCACAACTCATTAACTGTTAAGTTGCTGACCAAATAGAAAGTAATCCTGTTTGATACTACCTGAGAAAAGAGTGGGCTATAAATAATAAATATCTTAAAACCGTGTAAACATCATGAGGGATATTCCATTAAAATGTATGTGGGAGGGTAGGAAGGGTAGTTTAATTATTGAATGTGGGTTATGGGTCTTTTTTTCAGTATGCGTCTATTACCATTATGCAAAATTATCTAAAAAATTTGTAAGGGTTCCGCGGAACCCAGTGTCTCGCCTACTTTTGCTGTTAATCGCAGGCTCAACAAAAATGAGGAAAAAAATCAATAAAAATATTCCTCTCTATACTATCTTTTGATTGTAAGTAGCTTCTGTCCAAGTTTGGTAAAAATCCAGGATAATTTTTGAATCTAATAAATGTTTTAAAAAAACTTAAACTGCAGAATGTATGTAATGTTGACTGGAAGAAAAACTAAGTCCATTTATAAGTAAAATATGGAAAAAATGGAACAAAATTTTATCAAAATTTCCTTCTAGATACTAGCTTTTGTTCATAAACAAGCTTCTGTGTCCAAGTGTGGTACAAATCCAGGATAGTTTAAGAAAGTTGTTAAAATTTTAAAAGCTTTAACCACAGAGTAAATGTAATGTTAACTGGCAGAAAAACTAAGTCCATTTATAAGTAAAATACGGAAAAAAATCATTTTTTTTTTTTACAAAATTTACTTTTGAATATAATCTTATGATCGATGATCATAAACAAGCTTTTGTCCAAGTTTGGTAGAAATCCAGGATAGTTTAAGAAAGTTATTAAAATTTCAAAAACTTTAACCACAGAGTGAATGTCATGTTTCCTGGCAGATAAACTAAGTCCAGTTATAAGTAAAATACAGAAAAAATGGAATTTTATTTTACAAAATTTACTTTTGAATATTATCTTATGATCATAAACAAGCTTTTGTCCAAGTTTGGTAGAAATCCAGGATAGTTTAAGAAAGTTATTAAAATTTCAAAACACAGAGTGAATATTTGTGGACGCCGCCGCCGACAACAAAGACAACGGAATGTAGGATCGCTATGTCTCACTTTTTCGACATAACTCAAAGGCTCGACAAAAATGGTTCTTGGTTGTAGGGATATTTTGAAAGTCCCTTCCTACCCTCCCACATATGTTTTAATGGAATAGCCCTAAGTTCGTATTGAATAATACTAGGTTAATGCTAGGTTCTAGCTTGATCATGCTGTAAGGTGTGAGTTATTAACTCTACATTGAAAACTTTCCACATTTTTTTATCACAACTTTCAATGTACAGTTTTTCTTCTTTGTACACAACATTCCAACATTTTGTCCTTCTAGTCGTGTTGAATAATGAACCCAAGTTTTATTTCCCAATTCATAGACGTTAAGAGAGCAGATATGATTTGTGACTGATAGAAAGACAAGCTGATTTTTAAAGACCTTCCACTGTAAAGCAGGGCCCTAAAGAGTGGTAGCAGTGTCAATTTATTGTTTAGGTTCTCAAAAAGGGCCTGAATGTTGATGGTAGGAACTTGAGTGGGTGTTTGTATGTTTACAATCATTAATAAATTTAAACAATATATACCTGATTATCTGTGGAAATGAGTGGTTGTGGTGTTAAAACATCATTAAGGTTCTGTAAAGGGGCCTGAATGTTGATGGTAGGGACTTGAGTGGGTATAGGTGTAGAAATACAATGAAAGACTTGTACTGGGTCTGTCTTGTCACCTGAAAAATAATATGAAAAATTATAACATTTTCATTTCCATACAGCGCATAAAAAAGAAAATAATAGAATAGAGAATGGAAACGGAGAATGTGTCAAACAGACAAAAATCCATATCAAAGCAGAAGACAGCAATTTTTAAATTTTGTGCATCTAAAGAGTTTTTGAGGTATCATCCAGAAACCACAAAATTTTGAATTTTTCCAACTATCAAGAACCATATCTCTGGAATGGTGAAAACAATGAAAATTGAGCTTTAACCTGTCTTTAAACATTTTAGTTGTTCAAAACATTTCAATAAATTTCAATTTAATAAAAAAAAATCGATTCTCTATTTATCATCTGAAAACCAAAAGTGTGATGGACAGCAGGACATTCCTATTAGTGTTTCCCCCCAGGCATAGTTAGCATGGATACACGCCATGCCTTTTTTAAATGACGCCATGCCCTTTTTCTGTCCTAATAAATGACGCCATGTCCCCTTTTCACATCATAGGATGATGCCATTGTCTTGTAAATGATTGAATACAAGAAAGTGGATGTATAAAGTCCAGAATTGGCTTGGGTGTGTTTCTCTACTTATTTCTTCTTTATTATTTTCACTTGATGGTATTTATTTTGATAACATAATTCTCCTCAATCCGGATTGCACGATTAAAAGATCGATTCATATGGTGATTCAAATCTTTCAAAAATGTGAACTAGTAAAAATTATTGTACTTATTCAAACAAAAAGTTTGTAAGCATTTCTCGGTACCGCCCATTATCAATTTCACCTGCTTTATGATAGATCGACATTGTTTTACTCTATTTAATAAAAAAAATCGATGGAAATACAAAATTCTTTGAATGTTTCGATTTTGATGACACCATTTTGTGAAAAGATTTTAAACTGGTCCTTCGACTAATTTCCTTGTAATGCATTCAAAAATAGTAAACCAGTAAACCGGAAGTAAACTTAATTTTCTTAGTATAAGCCTCCTTTAATTAGGAGCGCCTCCATATGGAGTTTTACCTTAACCTTAAAATTTTAAGAAAAAAATTTATCCAACATAATTATGTACAGCACATATAAATAAATGATAAAAGTGTAATGCATGCATATTTACAGGGATCTTTTTAATACAAATACAGGCAGGAAATTTAAAAACTTGAAATATTTTAAAACATTACACTTTTATTGATTGCTATCTTGAGCTCTGATTTTCTTAATTCTTAGCATAATCTATGTGCCCTTTTGTTAATCTTTTGCGTGCTCTAGTGTCCTTTTTCATTGAAGTAACCATGCCCTTTTTGTGTGGTAGGGGAAACACTACATATATACCCCCATACCCCCACTGTTGAACAGGGGTTATATAACGCATAGATCATGTAGATGGTGCTTAGATATCATTTTGAGCAGGTTTTTTTTAAAGTATATTTAAACCAAATGTGACTCAAAGACTTACCTAATTGACAAAGTCTCTCAAATGAAGACCACAATAAGGGATTCAACGACAAACTCCTGCGATAACATTCTATGGCTTTTGATATTCTTTCAGTTTTACTGAAATAAAACCAAAAATATATGTATTACATAGATCATAATCATATAAAATAAGAAGATAAAGTATGGTTGCAAATGAGACAACCAGTCACCAGAGACCAAATGACGTTGGCATTTTACAGCAGAATGCATTGAGTGTGTAGGTTGAGGTATAATCTTTGGTTAGCTTGCTTGCTAGCTGAACCGTGAAGTCATTATTAGGTTAGGTAAATAACCCTCCTTTAAGAGTAGACTAGTCCGACAGATAACCAATCTATCTGTGTGTAGGACTAGACTACTCCGAAAGGAGGGTAGTATACCTAACCTAATAATGACTTCACGGTTCAGCTAGAAAGCAAGCTAACCAAAGATTATACATCAACCTACACACTCAATGCATTCTGCTGTAAAGCAAATATAGGTCACTGTCATCTGATTTAAAACACTTCATTATATCAATTATATAAATTAGAATACAAGTTGAATTGTTCAATATCAGAATCAATTCTTCCATGTCTTGCTCTATCTAAGCTTATTTTCACATATGTAGGCTTTTTATTTTTCAATATCTTTACAATAAGCATAATTTATCAATATTGTACACTGAACAATAGTGGATCTTTGAAAATGTTAGAATTATTTTGATCCTAAAAAAAAAATTCAGAATTGTTTGCAGTCAAACAGGACCTATAATACAATTACAAATAAAAGAAGAATGTATACTTTCTTGATAGATTTTTCCCAGCAGTGGGAGTATTTTTCCTGTAAAATTCAAGATTTCATCTTACAGATTATTTAAGAAAAATTTTACTATTTGGGGGTGTTGAAATTAGTAGGGGTAATTAAAATAATAATACTTAAAGAAGTGATTTTCATGTCATTGTGACATGACCGGTCATCCTATAAACACAGATGTTAATTCTGATAATTTTAGCAATATAATTAGTCCCTATAGATCATTAGTATTATATATTTAAAGCTACAATAAAATTAAATCACTTAGTCTATTGACTTATTTGTACTACTTAAAAAGGTGATTATTAAAGAAACAACTCTTACTTCCAACATATCTGGAAAAATGTTACTTGAATCAGTGATTTCTTAATCACTCATTTAAGTAATTTCCCTGACTGGAATATGGCTTTGTTTACAAGGTAAAAGAAGAGTCATGTTAGAAATACATGTTTGCTGGTATCTCGCCACATCTGTAATAATTTCAATGACTTATGCTTGCTAAACTTTATGTCAGCTGATGTAATCTATAAAGCAACAAATGTGATCATTTCTGCTACAGGTCCAAGGCGAGGTAAATTGATACAGGTTTATTTCAACCCAAAAGTAACTTGCCTGCTGGCCTGGTTTTCTTTCATTATTGTTATATCTTAAGGCCAAAGTCTGTTAAATATTCCTGAATGTGAGAAGTTTCTTACCTATACATAGCACCGAGAGTTGAGAAGACATGACAAGCAAGACCACCAAATTCAGTCTCGATTTCTTCATGTGTTTTAGATTTAGCATTTACAATATTTCCTGCAAGGACACTTTCAGCTTCAGGTAGCCTGAAAATAAAATTTATAACAATTGATAATACCAAGCTTATAACTCAATTAACAAATGATAAAATGTTCTGAGGACTTCACTTAGTTTGAATCCATATTCCTGATATTCAAAACTTCTTAAAGAATCATATTCATCAGGTCATGCTAGACTTTTTTATTAGAAAGTCTGGGGTCACCACATCAGGCAAAGTGACCGTTGCTCTAGGATTGCGGACATCACTCTAGAGAGGCTCCAGGGAGAAGTTTATGTCCACCTTGATTTTCAGTAACAATTATTCCCCAATGTTGTCTCCTGATTTTTGAAAAATTCTCGATCCAAACACAACCCATCCAGTATTCAAGGAAATGAACATGTTATTCCCAAATTCTGAACTGAATTGTCCACAGTCTTTGGCCGTCTTTACTTTAGGGGTCCCAACCCATATAGAGCTTTACTAAACTATCCTTTACCCCTAAACCTTACCCTAACCCATACCTAAACCTAACACTAGCGCTAACCCTAAAACCTAACCCATACCTAGAACATCTCCTAACCTAACCATAACCATGAATGAACCATAAACCCTAAAGTAAAAGAATGTCTTTGACTCCAACACTTAAATAGCCAGACAGGGTGCTGGTTAAAGTATCAGACACAGAAAAACTCGATTTTGCGATGTTTGTTTAAGTTCCGCCATCTTTGTTATTGAAATTGTAGAGGGTGCCCTTTTTTCTTATCAAAATTCTTCATTATTTACCTAGTCCATATTAAATCCAATATCTACTGACACATGACTGATTGATATCAAAAGTTAAATGCTTCATAAAAAAAGATCTAATTCTTTATGAATGTTGCAAAACATAAACTGGAATCTGTGTTTTAGTTTAACATGCTTAAGGTCCTTCAAACATTATTGTGATGAATAAATTTAACAGTATTTAATTTCCAAAATTGTATATTTTTGTAATCTATTAAGTCATGTAAGTATGAATTTCCCAAAATTTTTGTTTTCAATTTACATGTACCTATTCAATTTCTGGATAATGACAAGACAATGAAATTGCTCATGACATTGCTAGCCATTTAAGATATTGAGGCAGGACAAGAATATGGTGACCTGCCAAGATGTGGTTAAAAAAATGATAGTTTTCTTAAAAGAAATGACCTTCAAAGCAGGTTTGACTGTATTTAAATCTACAATACTCACTTATTCATATCCATGCAGCATTTAGCCAGGAGATATTTACACTGTGGTGTAGGACAACCATGTTTCTGTAACGTCATATAGGCTTTGATTGGTTTGCCTGATCTGTAGTAACATGTTGCAACTAAGTGTAGGGCATCGTCATTTGAGACTGAAATGTATGAACATTTATTTCATTTTTTGCTGTGAGATACAATTGTTCTAAATTAAAACATCCTCTTTTTATCCGAGTGAAATGGATGGATTTAATCCACTGCAGGATATCAGCATCAATTTCTGTTATCAATTTTGTCACATTAGCATAACACAATGGCCATGATAACATTTGAAATGGTAAAAGTCCCATTTGATATAAAATATCTTTTTCAGTTACTGTATTCATGGTATTGTCAGGTGTATAATTTTGCTGTTTTGAAAGAAAAAGTATACAAAATAATTTAGCAGTTTTAATTTTGGTGATGTGTGGAAATGAAAAAAAAAGAAGAATTTTATAACATATTTTCAAGTTACATGAGTTATCTCATGTATCTATTCATGCTTGAAAATATAATTGATTATGACCAAGGGTCCGGAAACGGTCATATATGCCAGTCATGTCCTACGATGAAACTATTTGTCCTAAACGAGTAATTGGGATTTAGGACAAATTTTATTTTTTTAAAGAAGTAATTTCGGTCATTTCATTGACTCAATGTTTGAAATCGGATTTCTTAATCGCCATTTTGCACTGTCTTGTCACGGTAAGTTGTGATCACTTGTTTTGTTTATAATCCCTTTCCTGTAATAAAACTGCCACTCAAGTAGTTTGATAATCCTGAGGGACCTCCTAATATCTATATCAATGCCTCCGGGAAACATTGGCTAATGATCGCTAATCACTTTTTACCTCAGTCCTGTGGTTTTAATTCACACTTGACAGTGATCACAAGCTCAGAATAATATCTTAACAATAATTGAAATTCCCTGACAAGTGTATTCATTATTTAATTACTTTTCAGCAAAGACAATCATCAAATCTGATTTAAAAATTAAACCTAAATTCACGGAGAAAAAAGTATTTTTTCATGTGCTTTATCTACTGTATAATACGCATGCGTGAAATTGTCTTCAGCAAATTTAATATTTAATCGTAAAATGCAAATTGATTTCATGCTAAATTAAACGAGTGCAACTATTGTCTGTTACATTCAAACACTTTTAAAGGTAATAAAATAAAAAAAACATAAAAAGCCGGTGATTTCCTGTCAATTTGATAAACAAAACAAATCCCGGAAATGAATCCGGAATTATTCGTACTTTAACTTTATCGCAAACTTCCGGTTTTAACTTTTGTCAAATCGAAAGAAACATAAGCAATGTCTGAGAGATTTACCATTTTGAGTCATTAAAATCATTTCAATTTTAAACTATTGCCTTCCCTAAACTGTTCTTCATGGTAATACACCTTTCCACTCTCCTGTCAATCATCAGTTAACTGACCAATCACATGTGGAAAATTTACCACATGTGTAAACATTAGGTAGCAGCACGTGTTGTCGGCCATAACCTCGGTCAAACATTCTTATCTAAACAGTTAATTTGATCTAACATTTCTTTAAATTTTCACAATTACTTCGTCCAGAATTTGTTTTTGGGAAAGGAATCAATGTTAGAGGGTAGAGGAAGGTCAATTTGTCAACTTGAAACAATAAAAAATTTGTTTCAATGTATGAAAGTTATTAATAAATCAATTAAAAAGGAAATTATATATATTGTTTACATGCTATTTTGAAAAATAAAAAAATAAATATATTCTGAAACACAAGATTTCAATTGGTGTACAAACTGAGTTGAAATTGATATCTTTTGCATTAATTTAAAATTTTATACAATAAAACATACAAGTTAGTATGTAAAAATTCTGGAAATTACAATTATAATATAGTAAAGATTCAGCAACAAAATAATTGACACCTTTCCAATTTCAATTACATAGAACAATTCATCCCTAACTTTATTCAAATGATGAAATGTTAAAATATTTGTACTTGGATGCAGTTTAAACTGAAAACTTCAGGGTATTGATCATCTTTTGGATTGACAGATTTTATACAAAATTTCAATTTTCCAATATGATATTTATACAAGAACTATTCCATTTTCTTTAACAATCAAATTGTTTTAGAGATAATGTACGTTTTCTCACCTTAAATTTAATCTGGATGAAAAATTATATACAACCTCATTGGAATGAGATGGAAATAAGAATTACTGATCTGAAAGTCTGCATGGAATGATGTAGTGAATTCTTTTTAAGTACAAAATGTATAAAAATGAAAGTATTTCTGTTTATAATGCCCTCATTGCTAGCATTTTGTTATAAGACAGAGTGGAAACTGAAATAATAATACAAAAATATATTTCAATAGATGCTTCATAACAAGTAAGATAATGTTTAATTTTGATATGACTTTGGTCTACTCTGAGAGTATTAGCTGATTCAGGAACATATATATTAATATATTATCAGATACTGTTCCCAGGCTGATTGTACTTGACCTTTTTCAAATTTTGTGTATGAATTTAAAAAAATTCGTAAGGGTTCCGCGGAACCCAGTGTCTCGCCTACTTTTGCTGTTAATCGCAGGCTCAACAAAAATGAGGAAAAAAATTAATAAAAATATTCCTTTCTATACCATCGTTTGATTGTAAGTAGCTTCTGTCCAAGTTTGGTACAAATCCAGGATAGTTTATGAATCTAATAAATGTTTTAAAAACTTAAACTGCAGACTGTATGTAATGTTAACTGGAAGAAAAACTAAGTCCATTTATAAGTAAAATACGGAAAAAATTGAACAAAATTTTAACAAAATTTCCTTCTAGATACTAGCTTTTAATCATAAACAAGCTTCTGTCCAAGTTTGGTACAAATCCAGGATAGTTATGAAAGTTGCTAAAATTTTAAAAACTTTAACCACAGAGTGAATGTAATGTTAACTGGCAGAAAAACTAAGTCCATTTATAAGTAAAATACGGAAAAAATGGAATTTTTTTTTTACAAAATTTACTTCTGGATACTATCTTTTAATCATAAACAAGCTTCTTTCCAAGTTTGGTAGAAATCCAGGATAGTTTAAGAAAGTTATTAAAATTTCAAAAACTTTAACCACAGAGTGAATGTAATGTTTCTTGGCAGAAAAACTAAGTCCATTTATAAGTAAAATACAGAAAAAATGGATTTTTTTTTTTACAAAATTTACTTTTGAATATTATCTTATGATCATAAACAAGCTTCTGTCCAAGTTTGGTAGAAATTCAGGATAGTTTAAGAAAGTTATTAAAATTTCAAAAACTTTAACCACAGAGTGAATATTTGTGGACGCCGCCGACGACTACGACGACGCCGACGGAATGTAGGATCGCTATGTCTCGCTTTTTCGACAAAAGTCGAAGGCTCGACAAAAATGAAAGGAAGTGAGAAGTATCGGATATATTTTATTTTCTTAATTTGAAAAAATGGTGATTACAATGTGCAAAGATTCCTGTTAAGGACAAGAGTTGTACATAGACTTAAAACAAAGACGAACTACAATGACCAAATATTCATGTAAGCAAATAATAAATTAATTTTCTTTTCTTCTTTATTTTTTACTTAGTGATAGAATTTTAATTATCATAAGTTATCTATGGATATAAAAACCATAAAAAATATAAGAAAACCGGTTAAATGTTATTTGATAAATAATCTAATAGCTACTGGAGCAAGGATGCTTGTTTTACAAGTTGACCCATGCTGTGTTTGTCTACACAGTAAACACACTTATCAGCATTCATTAGCCATGCTTAATTAAACCTGTAATTTATCTTATCAATCATGCAATGTTATATTCTATATCTAGTTGTTAGATTACATTTTTGTGGAATGAGGTTAATTTAATAGCTTAAAATTTGCAATATTTTAATTGTTTCTTTTTATTCAGTATAAATAGACATAATTTCTTCAAAATGTAATAAATTTATCTCTCAACTCTTCAGGAGTAACTGTTTCATCATACTTTAACACAAAAACAAATATATGAACAATATATTGCTCTAATTTATATTTGTTATAACAAATTCTTTACTTTGTTATTATTCAATGTTCATAATAACCGCCATTTTGTTGATTAGCTTGACCAAGGATGCTGGGTTGCCATGTGTTGCTAAGGGGGGCGGGGCATACCAGTAGAAAATGGAAAGGTGTATGGTAAGACATTTACTTAGTAAATGCGATGAAACAGCAATACAAGTTCGTTGATGCTATGAATCTAGTCAAGACTCAAGTTGACATGGAAAGGGGCACCAACTTTTCAATCATCTCAAAATGACCGAAATTGTGTGGAAAAATTTCCGGATCCTTGATTATGACAACATTATTCTATAAAAGTACATGTTAAGACAATAACCATCTTATATATGATTACTTGTTGACATTGGCATGATTGACATTTTGTTCAATTAGTTTACTTTCTTATCATATCAAAAGGTCATTGATTATTTAACCTCTTGGATTGCGATAATCATGATTATAAATCAACAAAATTTGTAATTACAACTGAACTGTTTCACATCAGTTTGTGATATTGTTAGAAGTATTTACATATTTCATAAAATATAATTAACTCATATTTTTTTTTATATTAAAGATCTACGAACATACCACTGTCAAATGACTACCTCTTGATTATTGCTAGTCAATTTCTATTTGTTGGTACATCTATACATTGTACATGTATATACAATAATATACATGATATAAGCTACACAGTGTGCTAGTGACCTAATAAGATATATATGGGTCAGTAAATTCTATATGGGGTCAGAGCGAACACCATATGAAATTTATCTTACCAACTATCTTAACATGTGACTAGTAGCCTATCGAAGTGATCAAATTTTCAATATATATAGAACCTACTTCAATTGGTATACACAAAAACAAATTTATATGCCAACAATAACAACTTGTAAGCTTTTAATGTGTTTTCTGCATTCATCATCAATTTCTTCGTCTATTGTCCGGGTGAAATGTTTCAGATTTTTCCTCAACGCTGTGTTGTTTTTATAAAGGAACATAACACTACTACTAACCATGTATAAAAATAAACCATGCCTAATACATGTATCCCCATATTAAATATACAGCGTCTCCATGTGGTCGCTTTTAACCAATAATATTCCTAGAAATGCATAGGAAAGACAACTAAACATTCACTGTCTTGAAATATAAAATGTATTTGTACAAGGCTTAGAAATAGGCAGAATGCAAGTAATTCTATCCTGTATCAAGCTGAGTACAAACAAAATTCATATTTTGAGACAAAGTACAGTTGTTTTCTTTGATCCAACATGTCCAAGTGAAATTTTCTAGGTAATACTGTCAATTTTGAATTTCAAGCAGAATGCCAAATGCAATTCTGATATCCAGTATTCTTTAACATGTTTAATGACCTCATGTGTAAAACTCTGCATATTTTACTGAATTGTCAAATAATACAATTTTTCCGAGAGTAATTGGAAACTTGAATTATAAGCTTGATAAATGCATGTGTTTCAGCTCTCAGCGCTTTAAGTTTAAGAAACAAATATCTAATTGAAATTCAAAGTTTACGTAATTTTATTAAGCTTTATCCATGTTTACCTTCTGCATATAATCTTTCTGCCAGGAAGGTGGCATCTGTATAGGCATAATGGTTCAAGGAATCCCATATTGCTGCCTGAAATAGATTCATTGATGTCATGCTTATAATATTGTATTTCTGACCAAGCATAATTACTGGTGACATGGATTTTTCTAGCATTCCACAGGGTCCGGTATTCTAACCCATTCCCTATGGCAAAAACCCAACATTTTTCTAAATTTCGGGATGATAAATTCCTAAACCCTCTCAAAATTCATTTTCATTTTTATTATTCATGACAGAGATGTTCTTTTTGAGTTTCAGGATAATGTAATTCAATTCAATGCACAAGTTTGGAAAATATGATTTCACCAGCAATTGTATTTTTTACTGTCCATCCGGTTTGAGTTGAAGATGGCGGTAGCAAAATATTAGAAAGTAAAGAAGTAAATTCCAATTGAAAGGTCATTTTATGTAATATTTAGTAAATTGAAGAGGTGTAATAGACACACATATACAATTGAATGAATGCTTCACAATTAAAAGCTGTGACTATGGTGACATGAATCGTTTTGCTAGGAAATCATTGAAATAGAAGGGTGTACAATAAGTTCGCCACAACATTCATTTTAGTTTGGTTTGACCAAAATCTTATAAGTCAGACGCATATGAGTATTTTTCAAAAATTGTTGAATTTTGAAATTGCAAATTTGATTTAAAGTTATTAATTCAAACTACCCTTGTCTTTAGCAAATCAAAACAAACAGTACTTACAGAACAACATATAAAAAGATGCAATCTTGATAATGTCATACAAGAAATTATATTGAAACATTTTTTGATAGGTGGTGCAATATTTTGTCTCTCGTGTTACCATGTTCAAAAGAAATTTCTGGTTATTTAGAAGAGGTTTAGATAAAATTTAAAGCTTGTTTTTCGTAGCCAATAAGTTGGTTTTCAAGAGTAAAAATTTCTATATATATTCATTCTGTGAAATGATAGATTATTTGTCAATTTTGCATGCTGTACTGAAAAATGCCTCTAAAAACTGGTTTTCAAAGGTTATAAAAATAACCATCGGTAATGCAAGTATAAGATAGCAGTTCATAATGTTCAGCATTTTTTCTCTCTTTCTAATAAACCCAACATCAAGCAATTCCCTCACATGTTGGTTTACTTTTGTTTTTATTTTGTTGGTAAAAGGAACGTACGTTAATGATATATCACCATAATAAGTTCTATCCTGTTACCGATAGCAGTATTGCATCTGCAAATGCTAAATTGCGATGAATAAGACTTTATAATCTTGAGGTGAGTTCAAACAACGAAACATTTCATTATGTGTAAAATATATGTTATCATAAAAAATTTTAAAATGTTTCCGTCTACTTTTGTCTATCCTGTTACTGTTACCATAGCAACCATAGTAACAGGATAGACAAATTTCTTCATTTTTGAATGTTGTTGTGAAATAACTATTCCCTTTGATGAAGTGATAATGTTTTTCTGTTGTGATTTTGGTTTCCAACATGTTATTGCACTTTTTACCAGTATAATATTGGTGTAATTAATAAATATGTTGGTAACATGACAAAAAAGTACCCACTATTTTATTTCACTAAATGTGTTGAATTTTTTTTCTCTACACTGTTATACAAGAAATGTGCTGTGTTAAATGTTTAGGCTACTTTGCGCTTTTGAAATCAACACTGACTAGTTCAATACTCATAGGGAGAACATTTAACGGTTGATTTAAGTAGCAGTCACAGGATGGACATGAACTTCATGTAAGCTGATTAAATTTTGTTTGTAGAAAAAATGTTTCATATAATAATAACATGAATAAAGAAGCTTAGATTTTTGCATTGGAGTTTTAATTAATATTTAAAAAATTCCCTTTTAAAGATATCAACATGATCAAGGCAATCAGAAAATAGGAAAACAAATATTTGAAATGTGTTTCCCTGACACTGTACACACCACAATTACGCAAAAATCAGACTTATTATTAATGTCCTGACTCATAAATACTACAATCATTCATTTAAACACTTACAACTGCATTTTCCATTAGAAATAAAAAATTTAGAATAGATGTACTGATAATTCGACATTTTTTGAAAATGACCCATATATTGCATGCCTGTGGGCATGGTGGGCACTAATGTCACGCAGAATCTCAGACCGTTAAACACTTTCCCCAATTTTGGACAGTGGTTTAAAAGCATAACATACAAACAATCAGTAACATTCAGTTGGAAATAGCTTGAGTCATCACACAAATGACACAAAGTATTACAATAACAACTAGTAAATAAATCATGCTCTTCCAGATTAATGATGCATGGTATTCTTGATAGATATTAACTGGTCCTCAAATTAGCACAATACAGACCCCTTGAGAATTTAATGTGTTTCAAGACGGAACCTACACTCAAATCAATTTTTAGTAACTGCTTATATCATGTATATACAGAAAGAGTGATTCAAAATGACCTTACTGTTAAGGCATGTTGAACGAAAACTGAATTTCTGAGGGAACTGGTCCTTGCCAACTATCATGACAATGGTCTTGGGTTCAGTTAGGACTGTTAAATAATTTATCCATACCTCTGAGCACATTGTTGATACCAATTCTATCTGTATCTGTATTGGAACGTGTAGAATCCTAAATTCTATTTTCGAATGTCTTTAAATTAAAGTATTAAAGGGAAGAAATTTACGATAAACAATAAGACACCTGTTATTTGGTTTCTTGTCACTTTTAGTTGTTCTGTCCGTCTTTCAGCTCTATTACACTTTATTTATAAGAGATGTGACTTAATATGGGTAAGTGTGTTTAGCCATTCATTAGCATGGTCAGTTTTCATACCTGTACGGGTTCTTGAAGTAACATATTACTTCTATTTTACGTTTTATTTGCCCAGTCTTTCACACTTTCGTTGATTGTATTCATTCTTTTTTAACCGCCTCGATTTCAATAATATTTGGGTCACAGGGGCGATAATTCTAAACTGGTTACTTTCTGGGACCCTGCTCTTTTGTAGTTAACACGCATATTAAACAAATAATACCTTCTAAATAATATACACAGTTGTGAATTTTTTAGGGGGTCTAAGCATCGATTACCTGGTCAACCTGTTATGGGATTATTCAGGATGAATTTTAGATAGTAGCGTGAGAGGGTTACACTAATGTCCTGACAATGTCCTGACAAAGTCCTGACGGATATGAAAATGCTAATTACGTTTTCATTATTTAAAGGATTTACTTTAAATTTGGAACCAAGCAAGATGACAACATTAATTTAATAAATAAAAGAAAAAAAAGAAAAAAAATATTTTTAAGAGTTTGAAAACGTGACCTGACCAACTTCGACTTTGAAATCACTAATGTCCTGACCGATATGATACGGCTTAATACTTTTTTATTATTCACAGGATAGACTTCAAATTCGATATCAAGGAAGATTAAAACATTTAATAAAAAAATATAAGAAAAAAGACATGTTCGTTTAAAAAATAGAAAGGCTATGTATATTTCTTAAATAAATGTCTTTAAGTTTGATAAATATCAATATTTTATTTAATATTTAAATGACAAAAAGAAAAAAATGTGAACAAGTATTGCAAGGGTAAAAATATATTGACCTGACATTGTCGAACTTGTCCTGATCAATTTTCTAACTGAAAGAAAATGTTAACCTCTTACCTTAAATAAAATATTGATATTTATCAAACTTAAAGACATTTATTTAAGAAATATACATAGCCTTTCTATTTTTTAAACGAACATGTCTTTTTTGGTGAATAGCCTATGTTGGTCAAGTCAAGTTTTTTGGTCTTTTGAATATTTGTTTTCTTTTCATTTCTTTTTATTTCTTTGTTAAATGTCGAAATCTTCCTTGCTACTAAATTTGAAGTTAATCCTTCCAAAGATAAAAAAGAAATTAGCAGTTTTATATCGGTCCGGACATTAGTCGCGGCAAAGTCGTAGTTGGTCAGGTCAAGTTTTCTAACTCTAAAAATTATTTTTTTTTCATTTTTTTCTTATATTTTTTTATTAAATGTTTTAATCTTCCTTGATATCGAATTTGAAGTCTATCCTGTGAATAATAAAAAAGTATTAAGCCGTTTCATATCGGTCAGGACATTAGTGATTTCAAAGTCGAAGTTGGTCAGGTCAAGTTTTCTAACTCTTAAAAATATTTTTTTTTTCATTTTTTTCTTATATTTTTGTATTAAATGTTTTAATCTTCCTTGATATCGAATTTGAAGTCTATCCTGTGAATAATAAAAAAGTATTAAGCCGTTTCATATCGGTCAGGACATTAGTGATTTCAAAGTCGAAGTTGGTCAGGTCAAGTTTTCTAACTCTTAAAAATATTTTTTTTTCATTTTTTTCTTATATTTTTGTATTAAATGTTTTAATCTTCCTTGATATCGAATTTGAAGTCTATCCTGTGAATAATAAAAAAGTATTAAGCCGTTTCATATCGGTCAGGACATTAGTGATTTCAAAGTCGAAGTTGGTCAGGTCAAGTTTTCTAACTCTTAAAAATATTTTTTTTAATTTTTTTTCTTTTATTTATTAAATATATGTTGTCATCTTGCTTGGTTCCAAATTTAAAGTAAATCCTTTAAATAATGAAAACGTAATTAGCATTTTCATATCCGTCAGGACTTTGTCAGGACATTGTCAGGACATTGTCAGGACATTAGTGTAACCCCATATTAATTATAGAGAGATATAACATCTATGGCAACCTTTGGAAAACTATAACCTTTTTCTAAGTTCTCCCGAATATTAAATTTTATTAGCAATATCATTCCATAGGTACTTGGGGACAGGACAATTTTTTTAGTCCTCCCCCTTTTGCCAAAATCCGTTATTTTTTTGTTTGTTTTCTATTAATTTCAATTATTTTCGCGGCATTTTTATGTATTATATGTCTCTGATTATATTAACTGAAATAACTTATTTTTGCTATTTAACTACCAATTCCAAGTTTACTATCCACAGCGGTCACTGAAATATTATATAGAGAGCCAGAGGCGGATCCAGCCATTTTTAAAAGGGGGGTTCCAACCATATGTCCCCATTCAAATGCATTGATCGTTAAAAAAAGGGGGGTTTCACCCCTAGTCCCCCCCCAAACCCCCAACCCCCCCTGGATCCGCCACTGAGAGCTATATATATAACAAAATAAGAAGATATCGGATTTTGAATTTTACAACGGATTTATATACTGAAAAGAACCCAGACCAAACATTAATCGTCCAGATCAAAGTTTGGATTGAAATTAATTATCACTTTTTTAAGTAAACATGTAATAAATATTTGACAGATCACACACGGTACCAAGTCAGGAATATGACAATTGTTTCCCATTCGTTTGATGTGTTTGAGCTTTTAATTTTGCCATTTTATAAGGGACTTTCCGATTTGAATTTTCCTTGGAGTTCGATATTTTTGTTATTTTACTTTTTAACACAGAAAAATATATGTCAGCTATGTGCATAATGTATATAAACTTTATGTGTACTGGAAATTGAAATTGAAATTCTTTGTTTTCCAAATCACAGGGCCCTTTCGGGCATTACAGAATTTGACACGATCATTCACACTTTCATAAGACAAAACAAGAAACAGTACAATTAAATCATACTCTATTTTCAATATCAATATTTTCGATACGAACAGTTTCAACTCTGATGGGCGCTACACTACATCTTTTCTACACCATATACATTTTTGAACAGTCTATGTGTACGTAATTTATTTTTATCATTTGACATAATTTTGTCATACCATTCTTCCTTAAATTTTTCAAAAGATACATTTTCAATATTCTTATTTGAAACCTTGTTTAAAATAGCACCATTACACAGATATTCCATATCATGTTCTTTAAACCTATTTTTACTCAAAAATGTTACTTATTTACTCTTTTACATGTGTTACCCCATAGGAACACCTTTTTATTTACTCTATCTCATCGATTCATTTTATTTAATCTTGCCCAATTTCTAAAAACACTAGTCCAATGTTTGATTTTGCATGGCATCCAGCCCATGTCACCATATGAAGAAATATTAGGTAAAATTGAGAATGGAAATGGGGAATGTGTCAAAGAGACAACAACCCGACCGGAGAGTAAAAAACAGCTGAAGTCCACCAATGGGTCTTCAACACAGCGAGAAAATCCCGCACCCGGAGGCACGCTTCAGCTGGCCCCTTAACAAAAATGTGTACTAGTTCAATGAAAATGGACGTCACACTAAACTCCAAAAAATATAAATGAACTAAAATTTAAAAACATACAAGACTAACAAAGGCCAGAGGCTCCTGACTTGGGACAGGCGCAAAATGCGGCGGGGTTAAACATGTTTTGTGAGATCTCAACCCTTCTCTATACCTCTAGCCAATGCAGAATAAACAAACATACAGGTGTATATTTTCCTACACCCATGAAAAGGTGCATGGCTCTATTTTTGTCTCGCCTTGATGGAGTCAAAAAGCGAGACATAGGTATGCTGTTTCCGGCGTCGGCGGCGGCGGCGGCGGCGTCGTCAACAATGTATTAGTTTGTGATTAGGTCTAGTTTATGGTGAACCACAAGTGGTAGGTCAATGATATTTGGTATGCAGTTGTATAAGCATTGGCACATCTCTTTTCCATGGAGATTATTTGGCCCTGCCCCCTTAGTCATGGTCTATTGGCTTTGAAACTTTTGCTTAGTTTACATGCATGTATTAGTTTATGATTAAGTCAGTTCAAGGGGAACCACTAGTGGTAGGTCAATGATATTTGGTATGCAGTTGTATAAGCATTGGCATATTTCATTTCCATGGAGATTATTTGGCTCCGCCCCCTTAGTCATGGTCTATTGACTTTGAAAATTTTACTTAGATTACATGTATTAGTTTGTGATTAGGTCAGTTCAAGGGGAACCATTCGTGGTAGGCCAATGTTAATTGCTATTCAGTTATATAAACATGAGCACATCTCATTTCCATGGAGAATAGTTGGCCCCAACCCCTCAGTCATGGTCTATTGACTTTGAAACTTTTGCTTAGTTTACATGTATTATTTTGTGATTAGATCAGTTTAAGATGAACTGCTAAATCGCTAATGTTAAGTCAATGATATTTGGTATGCACATTATTGGCATTTGCAAGTATCACTTCCATGGAGATTTTATAGCCCCATCCCCTCATCATGGTTCATTGACTTTGAAACTTTTACATAGTTTGTGTTTGTTTAAAGGGAACGACTTATAATAAGTCAATGGTATTTGGTATGCAGTTGTATTAGCATGGGCACATCTCATTTCCATGGAGATTGTTTAGCCATGTACCTTCAGTCATGGTTCATCGACTTTGAATATTTGCATAACTTGTATGTTAAAGTATTGCTATTTTAATTTCAACATTTACATTATCAAAATTACAAAAAAAGCGAGACATATCTCTGTGATAACAGTTTATTTATTTATCCATGAAAAATCACGTGTTCACCATATAGAGGCACCATGATTTAAAATTACAGACCATACAAGCGTATCAAACAATATTGTAAATGTACAATATTGACAACCACCGTTAGCTTTACATTTAGATACTGATCTACTAGCGGCTTCAGCAACTGATTTTGCTATATTATCATAGCTTAAATGCTCAGTAAACAATAAACCTAAACATGTATACTGGAAAACAATATCAATATTGTTATCTTTAAACACAAATAGAAAATTTGATCTAGATACAGACTGTGTTCTAAAATGTACTATTTTAGATTTTTCTAAATTAAAAGTAAGGTCATAAGTACAACAACATATATTCAAAACATCTAATATTTTTTGTAAATTACTCTCATTCTCAGTTTTAGATACAATTTATGATTTTCAATGTCTATACCTATGTTTAATTTCTTAATTTCATCAACAAGATCGTTTATACAGATATTAAATAACAGAGGCGAAAGGATACA